TGAAAGAATCTACAACTGATGGTAGCTCAATGGCAAAAATAACACTGAGGTATAGTCACTGATGTATGTGGTCATGAATTTTTCATTTCTTTTCACATAACTTGAGTTTTTCCAATAAAAGAGATTCATTAAATGTATAACTAAATGATATTTAATATCTAAACCTTTGGAAGATTTTTTCATACAAATAAATTCAGGAAGGTGGTAGGGGAGCCATTGGTTGGTTGAACGGTGCATCAACTCACATGGCTGCAGAACGGTCCCCTGAGGAGATTTACAAGATTATTGTTGGGCATTTGGATGATTCCCATTTTTCTTGATGTTATAAATAACACCAGTATAAACACCTTTGTATTTGTAGCTCTTTTCTTTATCACCTCAGGATAAATGCCCAGGAGTGGGAGGGCTAGTGCCCCTCCCACCACCTTCCCCTTACCAGATTCAGAATTGAGCCCGGCTGCATTGGGTTTCATAATGGACTCCAGGTGTAGGGCAACATCTTACGGTTATTTAATTTACATTTCTTGAGGAATATCCTGAGGTTCTTCATAGACTCTCTAGAAAACACCAGAGCTTCTTGGAAAGTGTGAGTTAAGGATAAATATTCTATTTTATGGAAATACATGAATTTTGATTCAGATGGGATATGATTAAATCTCCACTTGCCTTTTTGTAAAATTCTTTTATTGTGTTTATAATACACCTCCAGGGAAGTGCATAAAACCTACATGTCCAGCTCATTAAACTGTCACGAAGCAAGCACCCATATAATCCTCCCCCAAGGCAAGGAAAAGAGTAATATCAGCACCCTAGAGGGCCCTTCCAATATCCCTTTCCAATTAACACCTCCTCTTTCCATCCAAGGAGCCCTGGTGGTGCAGTGGTTAAGAGATTAGCTGCTAACTAAAAGGTAAGCAGTTCAAAACCACCAGCTGCCCCTTGGAAATCCTATGGGGGCAGTTCTACTCTGTCCTATAGGTTCTCTGTCAGTCAGAATTGACTTGACAGCAATGGGTTTGGTTTTTTGGTTTCTTCTCCAACCAAAAATACATACTATTCTGACTTCTAGTATTTTCGTTTGTTTTGCCTGTTTGAAAAGTTCATATACATGGTATTAGAGTTCATATTCTTTAGTGTCTGGCTTCTTTATGCTTGTGAGAGTCATCCATGCAGCTTTGCGTAGCTGTGGTTTATTACCTGTCATGGCTGCATAGTACTGTGTGGTATAAATGTGCCACAACTTATCCATTCTACTATTGAAGAGACTTTGGGTTGTTTCTAGTTTTGGGCTATTAGAAACAGGGCTGCTAAAGATATTCTTGTACCCGTTTTTGTTACCCATTTTGTTCTACACTTTCTGGTAGGTCTACACCAAGAGGTACACATGCTGGGCTTAGATGAGTGGAAATTTCCTGAGGGATTGCATGGAAACTGGGGAGACATCAGGCTGACTCCCTGCACTTTGTATTATACGAGGAATAGTCTTTTTGTGTGGGGGGAACTTAAGTATCTAAAGGGTTTGTGTGGATTTTGAGCATCCGGTGGACCTTTGTGTTTGTTTCCTATTTTTTTTTTTTTTTTTGAAATTCTCTAATGTGTTTTTGTGGGCATTAGTGCACCATTTCCCAATATAGAAGCTAAATGAGCAACCCTTCTCTCCACTCCTTGGCATCTAGAATGTGGGACAATGACTTAGGCTTGGCCAAATGGGTGCTCCCAGCTATGCCTTTGATCAAATGGTGCAAAGATGAAGGAACAATTTAGCATTTATTCACAACAGTGGGTTAGCAGCATTGACCTGCAGCAGCTTAGAAATTTTTGTTGAAGGAAAGCTGTTTTGACTCTTGTAGAAACACCTGGGTTCAAATCCTGTTATTAACTCATGCAAATGAGTCTTCCTGCACCTCTATCACAAATGATGACATCTTACAAGTGAGGAGAACCAGACAGTAAGAAATCACCCCCCGCCCCGCCCCCCACACTCACAGTGGCTTAGTTGACTCTGGGGTAGGAAAGCTAGAGATGAATCCCTGCTTTGCACCTACCTGTGCTACACTGAGCAAACTGCTTCACCTCTCTGAGCTTTCATCTTCTAAAATGCGATTATGTAATAAGGTACATAAAAGCACCTAGCTCATAGTACGTGCTAGCAGGTGAATGAATCAAACTTATAGTCTTCCTCTTTCAGCTTCCCAAGGCCCTTCTTCTACTAAACAGACTGTGGGTGGGCCGGAGGGAGGAGGCAGGCATTTCCTAACCATAGCTTCACACTTTGTCATCCTCTGGCTCAGGCTGTTGTTGAGAGGACACAGTGCAGTCCGTAACAAGTGCAATCCAGAACAAGTGCGGTGTTTTAAAAACCTTTTTCTCAGGGGTTGCAGCGGACTTCCGTGCAGTGATTTGCTAAAGACAGGAAACACTGGTTGACCCATAGGTGCTCAGTTAAGAATGTAAAGCACTGATGCCATCATGGACCAAGCCCTGGGGCTAGGTGCTGGGGGCAGAGCTCAGACAGACAGGATCACTGCCTGAAGAGCAATGTGTACGTTCCAGAAGAAGGACCTCATCAGTCCTGTTCATCTATATTCCCAGTGCCTAGAACATGATTAGAACCCTGGTGGCACTGTTGTTAAGAACTTGGCTGTTAACCAAAAGGTTGTTAGTTTGAATCCACCAGCCACTCCTTGGAAACCCTATAGGGCAGCTTGACTGTCCTATAGGGTCACTGTAAGTCGGAATCGACTCAGTGGTACCTTTTTTTCTTCTTAGAACATGCTTGGCTCATAGAAGGCCCTCAAATATTAACCTAAGGTTGTTGGGGCATGGGGGCTGGACATTATGCTGCAGACTCTTCATCTGCAATGGAGCCTAACCCTGATCCCAGGGGATTATTATAACAAGGTGAGAAATGTACATGAAATTACCTAATGTTATTTCTGGTGCACACCTGGACTTCAACAGATGAGTTTCCATCTTTCTCATGTGAATTTATCTTCGTCCTTTTCATTCAGAATCTGACATTCTAAGTAAATGTAAACAGATTTAAAAATTGCTGGGAAAAACACGCTGACTAGGGATCCCTTCTATGTATACATGTAACCCTTACTTAAGGGTCACATGTGCTAATTTCATTTGGTTAGAATCAATGTGCCTTAAACATTGAAGCGAGAACTTTTCAAGGCTCACACTGTTAACTGATAGTTTAAGTTACGTAAACATGACTTTTAACTATGTTTAAAACATGAATAGGAACAAAGTTTGGAAGGGAATATGGAAAAATATGGAGTTGCTGTGTTAAGAGAAAAAGGAATTAAGGTGGATTTTTTCCTTTCAATATTATTGGGTTTTAAAAATGGTAAACATGTGAAAGAAAAAAATCCCCGAAGAACTATCTCCACCCTTCTAGGGTAAAATCAGAGATGATGAATTCTCATCACCCACTGGCGCCAGCCACCGAGGTGGTAGGGACTCTGCTGGCCGCATTCATCACTTGTCATGACAAGGGGCCAGATGAAGGGGTGCAGAGGAAGCTCTAGGGAGGGGACTGAGTGAGGCTCCTGGGTTTGGCTGCCCTGCCTATTCCTGACAGCCCTTGCTTCCAAAACCAAACTACCTCACCCTCACCTCCATTCCTCAGACAGGCTTCATAATCTTGGGATCACCTCTGACAGCACCTTTCCCCCGGTCGCTCCCATCTGTCACCTGCCAAGTTTTGCTGATTTGTTCTCTCTGCCTCCTCTTGCCTTTATTCAGGCCCATCATTGGGAATTATTGCATTCCCCCAATTGTTAATTCCCCTACATCCGATCCTTCACACTATCGTCAGATCCATCTTCTGGAAGCATAGCTCTGCTCTGCTCCCTGCAGCCAGCTATTCAAACCCTTTAAAGTCTCCAATGCTTACAAGATAAAGGCCAAATTCCACTCCTGGTGTGTAAGGTCCTCTATGACCCAATCCATCTCGCTAAAGTTAGCTTCTCTTATTCCCTGTCACCCAACTCTTGTCTCAGAAAAATAAATGCTTCCCTGTCCCAGGCACAATGCCCTGTGCTTTCCCAACTCCATGGTTTTGCTCAGATGTTGCTTTTGCCTGGAATGTCTTTGACCCTCACATCTCCAAAGGTTCAGTTTAAACACTGTCTCCTTCCAGATCTCTAACCCAAATGAAGTTGTAACTCCCTTCCCTGAATGTCCACTTCACCCTCAGTGGCGTTTTAACATCTGCAACCAGATCACAAGCTCCAGGACGGCAAGAAACTCGTCTGATCTTGTGTCCCCAGTGTGTCCTCCAGGGTTTGGTCCACAGGAGAGCTGCTTTAAATCTATGGACAGCCCCCAATAAATGCACAGACGCAGCCTGAAAACAGCCTTCACTCTGCCCAAGCTTGCTGCAGCGTATCATGAAGGCCCTCTAACTTCCTCCGCAGCTTCATGCTCCCTCAAGGGCTGAGGCTGGATGGGGTTTACTTGTCTCTTTGGTAGCTCCGACAGCGGAATACACAACGCAAGGGTGAATGGGACAAAGGTAATCAGGAGATTTTCTTTGGTTTTCAGTGAGCCCAAATCCTAAGTGATGAGATTTATGATACTGTAGATTCACGGCAAGAGGCTCAACAAACAGCACAGAAGCAACTGTGTTCGCGAACTCATCTGGTAAGGCTCCGAGTTCCCAAACTGATTAATTTCTCATCTACTCAATCATAAGATTCTTAAGAGTGAAGGACTATAAACTCCTGAAAAACTTACCTTTACTCTGTTGGGTGAGAAAAATACTTCAGGAAAGTGTTGTCTCCCTATCCACAGGTGACCCCAGGGAACAAAAGAGCCATTACACATTTCCCAAGAGGCAACTGCACTGAATTCTTTATGCCAAGAAAAGAGATCACAGAATGTATCAGAAAATGCAACTTCGATTCAAGCACCATCAAATTTGTCAAGCAAAAATAGTCTTTATTCAAATTTAATGGAAACAGGGGGCACTATACTTTGCAAGACGGGGAAAAATAAAATTAAAAAAAATTTTCTTTTTTTTTTTTTTTTTTAATATAAAACAATATAGTCACAATACCAGAATATGGAACTCTACAGTTTATTTTCTATGGGTTACTGCAGGTATCAATTTTCCTCGACTGTGCTATTCACAACTTTGTTAAGTCCAAAAATATGAAACCAAAGTGGTAGGAAACTTAAGACTTAGCACGTTCACTAAATGGCATACCTCAAAGGGCATCAATTCAAGGGCGAAAACAGTTGAACTCACCATACCTACCTATGTCATCATTCCAGCCTTAATGGTGTCCAGGTACTGAGCTCCCTGTAGGAAGGGCCAGGCCTGAAAGCCAAGGCATTTTGGATATTCTACTGTGGGCCGTGAGTAAAGGGAGGGTTTCAAAGAGAAGATTTTTTTTCAGTCGAGCAGGAAGGCCTGGCGCCAGGAGGCTTTATGGAGAGGAAGCACTGAGATTTAACAATTATAGACACACCATTAGGGGAGTTAAAAATGTACAGCAGTGACGTGTGGTCTACTTCAATCACTTGTGCTACGGCTACCAAACATGTACAAAAGACTTCTTGGGTAGTTCCAACTGTGGTTGTAGCCAGTTAGGACCTTGAGTGGGACCTAGATCTAGACCGGGAGGGAGATCTGGAAGCGGACCGGGATCTAGACTTGGACTGAGACCGGGTTTTTGAGGCTGACTTTGATCTAGAGCGCGATTCTGATGGGTTTGGTTTCGATTTGGAATTGGACCTCGACCTGGACCGGGTCTCCTGGTTGATGCCTGCATTCTCACTCTCTCCTTGGCCTTCCCTCTGGCCAGACTCGGACTTGGCATGCTCCCGCTCCTTTGACACGGAGCGGGACCGAGATCTGGACTGGGAGCGATCGGTGTCTTCCTTCTTCTTCTTGCTGCTGCCCGACTTGCTGTCTCGCTTGCCGCCTCGTTTCCTGCTCCGCTCGCTCTTGCTGGGGCTGCGGCTTCGGCTGCGGCTCTCCTCCCGGCTTCTCTTCCTTCCCTTCCTCTTGTCCTTGCTTTTGCTGCGACTCCTACTTCGGCTCCTGCTGCCTCCTTTGCTCCTGCTCCTGCTTCGGCTCCTGCTCTCGAGGAGGCTTTGCTCCTGACTCCTGCTCTTCTCCCTGCTTCTGCTTCGGCTCACACTCCCTTGCTTCTCCTCCTCCACTCTCCTCTCTTGACTCCTGCTCCTACTTTTACTCTTACTTTTATGCCTACTGGGACTTTGGCTCTTGGATTTCCCAATGTTGTCATTGTTCTGGATCTTCTCTTCGGCTTGGTCTTTACTTTTACTGCGGCTTTTGTCAGCACTGCGGCTGCGGCTACGGCTCTTGTCATCCTTGCTGGGGCTCCTGCTTTGTTCCTTCTTGCTCCGGCTGCGGCTCTGGCTACGGCTGCGGCTCTTGCTCTGGGAATGCGAACGCGACCTGAGGAGGTAGAAGGGATGCCTGTGTCATGTGTGGCTTCACACTTCCCGCTACTCATGAGACAAGAAGACCAAAGGGGCTGTGTGTTGAGCTATGCCCCACAACATAACGTACGGCCAAGGATCACTTTCTGAACCCCTACAGTTCCAATCCAAGGAACTGGAAAAAGTGGGGTGAGGGAAGACTGGCAACATGATTAAAATCAAAGTGAGAAATGGTACAGGTGTTCCCTGCTGACCTCTCACACTTTTGCCAAGGAGACTTACCTGGATCGAGATCTGCTCTTTGAATGACTGCTTTTGCTGCTGCCACTTCGGCTTCTGCTCTTACGGGAATGTCTGCTTCGAGAGCGAGACCTAGGGGGAGAAAATATTTTTTTTAACACTTGCTGACAAAAGGCCAGCTGATTTGAGTCAACCAAGACATTCTTCAAGTCAAAAAGTACACACAGACACCTGCTGTGTGCCAGGCACAAAGTTGAAAAAGAACTCTCTCCCGAGCTCTGGGCCCCTAGATCCAGGCACCTGCAAACATTTTATATGGATGGCTCACCTGAAGCTCTCAGCACCTCCAATCGTGAACACACTACTTCCCCCAGACCTGTTCCCTGGGCTGGGTTCCTGATTTCCACTGACGCCACTGTTATTTACCCAGTTCCTCATACCAGAAACCGCAGTCATTCTTGACTCCTCTTTCCCTCACGGACTTACATACTGATGATTCTGCCTTTTAATTTTCTCCTGTCTACTCACCTCTGCTGCTGCCGTCCCACGCAAGCCCTACCACCTCTCCCCTGGTACCACAACAGCCTCCTGACTAGTCTTCCTACACGTTTGCCCTTTTCCAATCTACCTCACTGTGACCAAACAGCCATTTTAAAAAGACAGACACCCCAAGCTTAAAACTTTTGTTAGTGAGCCTAGGCCATGGGCTCCTTGGAGACATGACTGAGTGCAAGTGCAGGGCAGGAACTGCAGGAGACAGATCTCAGACATCTTGTGACGGAAAGAGGAAAACTTTAAAGACTTTTGGGCGCCACCACCAAGGAAGGACTCCTGCCAAAAATGTTTAACCTGCATCTCAGCCATACCTCTCTAGAACTAATTTTCAGTTTACAGGCAGTTAGGGGATAAGGTACAAATTTAATAATACCAAGAAAACATAAACCCAGAATGTGGGATAGTTTAAAAAACCTTCAAAGAAAAGAAAATGAGATGGGGAAAAAATAGGGGAACTTCCCAAGACTAAAAGGACATGACAACCACTTGCAATACACGAGTGGGCTGAATTCTGGTGAGGAAAAAAAACCAGCTATAAAAGACAACCATGGAACAACTGGGGAAATCTGTCTGTGGCCTGGACATGAGGTGATTTTATGAATTATTGTTAATGTTCTTAGGAAATGTTGACAACTCTGAACGCACTGATCAATCTTATTATCATTAAAACTGGGATGTGCAGAAATCACATAAGGAAGCACAAAGCATGACCTATGAAGTAAGTGGTTCTGCCGCAACCATGACTCTGCTCTAATGACTCGAGATCTAACTACATGCTTATAGGAAATATGGGGGAGAGGATAAAGGCACATGTTAAATATCACCACAAGGATGAAACCAGCAAAATTTAAACTACGAAAAACTCAAATGACCCCATTTTGTCAACAAATAAACACGCAGAACGTAAAAAGAGGGTGGAGGAGGATATGCTGGTCAATAAAAGATTAAGAGACTGCCATCAAAATGCAATGTGCAGACTATAAGAATATGAACAAACCAAGTGTAAAAATAAACATTTCAGACACATGCAGAATTTTGGTATTAAAAACTGGGTATTAAACGATATTATGGAACCACTATTAATTTTGCTAGGTATGATACTGGCATATGGTTTTATTGAAAAAAATCAGAGATAGAAGTATTTATAGGTGGAATGACAGGATGTTTAGACTTGCCTTAAAATAATGCAGCAGGAGGGGGGAAAAAACTAGACTGGCAAAATAGAAACTGCTGCAGCTGAATGGGATTCAAGGTTCATTAAACAATTTTCTCTGATACTGTATACACTTGAAAATTTCCATAATAAAAATTAAACTGAAAGCACAGAAGTCTAATGACTTCTCACTACTCTTAAATCCTTAACCTAACCCATCTCAAACCACTCTCCTTCCTATGTTGGCCTCCACTTAGGGAAACTCTCTCCCACCCCCAGGGCCTTCAAAACACACTGTTCTCTTTGCCTGAAAGGCACTTGCCCTCTCTCTTTGTCCACCAACTCCAGCTCATCCTTCAGGGCTCAGCTTCTATCAAACTTCCTTAAGGAAGCCTCTGCCAGCTCTCCAGACTGGTTGTGCTGTGTACATTTCCTTCGACATACTTATCATGATGGTTATTCTTTGTGGAATGCCTGTGTTCTCTATTAAACCAAGGTTCATGAGGGCAGGGACAGTATTTGTCTTGTTTGCAACTGCCTCTTTAGTGCTGAGTCCAGTGCCTGGCCTATCTATAGAATTGTTGCTAAAGAAGACAAAGTCTCCATCTTGAGCAGCTAAAGTATCTGACAGAGTAACCAAGAGACCAATGATCATGCTTGCCCCCAGCCAGGGTATGATCCAGCGGAGCCAAGAAGAAATGTGAAAGGCCACTGACTCCTGCCTCAGAGAAAGGACTTTATTTCTATTTGTATTCATGACATAAGAGTTCAAGAGTTTTACAAATAAATGTTCAGTTCAAAGTTCTGAGAGACTGAACCAGATGGAACCATGTTACTAAGAATTCAACAGGGGAATGTAAATAGAATATCTATGTGCTCACTAATGAACTTAAGGCCCGCTCCAATGCATAAGGACACCCATGGTACCTTGAGTGACTCCGGCTCCTGGAGTAGGACCGGCGTCGTCTAGAACCTGGCTTGTCTTCAACCAATCTGATTTTTCTGCCATTGACTTCAGTTCCATCCAACTTTTCCAAAGCTCTTTTCATGTCAGAGTAAGACAAAAATTCAATCACCCCTTCATTTTTGCGTCCCTTGTGAGCATCTGCATAGGTTACCTCTCCTGCCTGACGCATATAATCCTAGAGGAAAAAAGAAATCCCCAAATAGGTTAGAATACCTTTTGCTAAATTATCTAATGCAATCATCACAACGCAAGTTTTTCCTTTCCTTTAAGGAGAAATGTCAGCTTTTCTCAGAATGAAGTTTACTGCTAAATATTTCCATCTATCCACCAACCATTTACTAAGGTCCTTTAAAGTGTCAGGTATTAGGTGGGTGGTAGGGGTAATGAACAAAAATGAACAAACATTTAACAACTGCTTTAAATAAATTATCTGTGAATATGAAAAATCTGAGTTAACTATCATTTTCTCAATTTTATAGTGACAAGTTCTTTGTTGACAGAAGTATGTCACTATATTTAAGTCTTTTACATTTCATTACAAACACTTGTTTGAAAATATGTATGGATATTGACAAGCATCCAAGGTGGAAGTTAAACAAATCCATAGAGATTATGAAATTAGTCCCCAAATTTTACTTAAAATTATCGTTACATTATCTCTTCAAAACAAATGAAAGGCAAAAAGGGAACAGAGGGAGTACTGTCCAGCCCGGGCTCTTGAAAGTGTTAAGACCACCTACGTCACTTCACTACTGTAAGCCTTGTTTCTTACCCTGTTTCAGAGGACTTTGCATGACCCAATGAGATAATAAAACTGAGGTGCTAGATAAATGCTAAGATGATAGTAGTGTTTGAAAAGACAATGGAATTTGGATAAAATTTAAAACTTAGAGACTTAATGCTAATTTTTCCACATTTCTTTGTACATAATATGCCATAGATGCAATAGATATTTGTGGAATATATGAATATTCAACAGCAGTTCATTTTTGTATATTCCTTTCCTTTCCATATTTCACAAACATTTAGCACAAGCCATCTATACTGTTTCTCTGCCCACTGCATCATAAACATGCTTATGTCTTAACATACAACATAGTCTTCAAATAATTAGTATGCAAAAGACCTTTTCTGAGGCTTTCTCAGTTGATGGGACTTTTAGGACATATATATAATCTTTTGCTATTATTCATAATCCAGCAATGAAAACCTCTGTACAAAATAATTCTTTAATTCAACGGAATTATTGGTAGGAATAAGGGTTCTGAGTAAAAGGCAGGGAGCCTATAATTTATCATCTAAACTGCCATACATTTGAGAGTGAATGAGGATGCTAGTAATAGTTATGCCAAGACCAGGACTATTTTGAGCAAATTAAGGTATTTGATCATTCTGGTAAAATGGCTTGAAGAGTGTCACTACATTTGTTCTATACTGCCATACTTCTAAATTAGAAAATTATAATAACAATGATAACAATAAGAGCTGACATGCTGAATGTTTATTCTATGACAAGTATGTTTTAATTAATTTAGTTCTAATTACAACCACAACGCCCACTTTATAGGTGAGAAAAGTGAAATCTAGAGATGCTGAGCAATCACCCAAAGTCATCCAGGAAGTAAGTGAATGAGCCAATGTCTGAACATAGGCAGACTGTAGAAGCTGAATTCCTAACGCCACCTCACGCCAATTCGCAATGCCACCAGCAGTATACTAATGCCATCACCACTGGGTGTTATGAATTTACGTATTTTTAAACAATATCCTTTAAACTTCTTTTATTTAGGCATCTCCTTGATTAAATAGCTAGCATTTATTGTTCCAGGAACTGCTCTAGTTTAATATAAAAAAAGTCCATTCAATTCTCACAGTACATTTGAGTAGAAACTAATATTAATCCCATTTTACAGTTGAGGAATATGAAGCACAAGAGATAAATAACTTGCCAAGGTCACTTAGGGGATGAGCTAGGCTTCACCTGAGGCCGGCCCCAGAGCCCCACACTTAGCAACACCTTGGCTTTCTAGGAAATCTACTCTATTACTCTCGTTTCCTAAGAGTAAGACTGCCCAAAGGTACAGAAGTATAAAACCAAGGGATGTTGGCTAGGCTCCATTTTAACAAAAAATTTAACAATTTTTATAAGAAATTAATTTAATACCGTATTTAGTGCTGGCATTTTCTGCTCACAGAGTAGAGCTTTCCAGTTTCTACTCATAATATTTAACCCCTAACACTCACAATACCAGAGTCATTCCTTCAGAGAGTGCAATCCTGAGGGCAGGCACTCAGTAAAGGTCAGCAATATGCTGGCTGCCAGCATGACAGACTGGAAAAACAGACTGGGAGTCAGTCGAGTCCTGGTCCCAGTCCTGGTTCCAACTCTTCTGCTAAGACCATTTGTGTGACTTAATCTTTTCTGGGGGTTGTTGGGGACTAAATTGAAAAAAAAAAAAAAAAAAAAAACGGGTTGAAAAGTGCTTTGACAAGTTAAAACTGTGCATGTAGAGGATTCCTAATTATTCTTCCTTGAACCTAAAATACACTCATTTTGCTAGAGATGACTTGTTTAATGATGGATTGAAGATGTGAGATAGGACTCTGAATATCCTCATTTGTCCTCCTAAGACCATCTAGTTTAAGACACTACTCAGTAAGTGCTTTCTTATGGAGATTAAAAAAACCAATACTGTTCTCAAAAAATGAGCTTGGATTAGTGTTGGATGGCCAACACAGCACTAGACCTTAATTTTTGACACCAAAATTCTTTTAGAAAGAAAGGTTCCATGAAAAATAAATAAACCTTATGAAAGAACTAGTGAGATACTCGATTTTACCAATGAGGATCTACACTAGAAAGCTGACATAAACTTGCATGTTACAGGGAATGTTGCAAGAAATATTGGTGGTTGTAACTTTCCCTTTAACTGGTGAGAAATACACTGGCATCTCCCTATAACAGTCTCCACACAGGAACATTTCACATAATATAGGTTTCTCCTTAGAGTGATGGTCCCATAATATAAAGTAGTAGTGAGAGTCTGTCTTTTGTACCCTGATAGAACCTGTCACCGGAGAATTTCCACTTTGGGAAGGCGTTCAAACACATAACACCAATACATTCTGTGTATGCCTGTGCCCACATACAATTACCTGTTTCCCAATCTAACTCCTGCCCAATCTTACCCCAGAAGGTTAATGGGGCCCAAACCTTTAGGTCTTGCCAGCTGCACCGACTTGACAAATTCTCCACAATAAGCCTGTACTCTGTGCGGGTAGGAGGGCCGTATTTATCTCGGCCACTTCTTCTATAACCATATCCACCTTTGGAAGGTTCAAATAGATAGTTACTTTGATGTAGGAAAAGGGAAAAATGACACAGCACATATTCCCCTTAAATATACTATTTACCTCCCACCCCAAACAACAGCATATATATTTAAATCTACTCCCACCCTTAATTCTAAACTAGATTTATTTTTATTTCTTAAAAAAGCAATCAGTTAAACATGAAAATTTAATTTAAAAAGTTGTAAGTATACACATTCATTAATTTTTATATTTACAATCAACATGCATAAATTAAAAACTATTTAACAATTTAGAAATAAGTAACCAAGTTACTAAATCAGTTACAGGTGTTACTCACAGTGATTAAAGTTTTTGTGAATATTTTATATAAAAAAAAGATTTTCAGGCACCTATTTCAGTTTAATCTCATCTGTGTCTAACCCTTGGGATCCTCACCACCCAGGTCTAATGGGGAAAGGTTGCGGTCGTCACATGGCTTCCTGTTTTTGGTCAGCCAAGGGCCACAATGGTTCAAAGAGCCACGCATGGAAAGGTAACCCAAGGTCAGCAAATGGAACAGGCAGTCATCTTAGCCTCAAAGGATTCTTTTAATTAAAACATTGAGGTCTTTGTTAAATCTATGTTAAACAATTGCATTACAGAGAAAAAACACAAACACACATCATTAAACATATTTATAAAGTATTAAAACAAGAAATTTATGTCATTATTTTAATTAACATTAAACATTATCAAAGATGTTTATTTGCAATTCTAAATTAAAAAGATACACAATTTATAAAAACAAATGGCTTAAACATCAATAATTTAAGTATAACATTAATTAATTAATTACTTTAAAAAATTAACATTAAATAACAAAGGCATGTCACTGATACAAATGCCCTTTAAATGCTTACTGCGTCCAGAACCGTAACTGCCATCTCGACGTGGGCCGCGGGCATGCTCAACAATTACTCTCTCACCACAAAGGTCTTTGCCGTTTAGTTCATAAACAGCATCATCTGCATCACGCAGATCATCAAACTCCACAAAACCATACCTAGAAGAAAGCAAACAAAATCCTGGTTGGCACCATTTTGACCCCTAACTTCACTAACATTAAAGAGAAAGCAATGAGGTTCATGCTTAGCAAATGTTAGGTGGGTTTTACAAACTAAGGGTCACCTTTCTCTTCCCTTTAGGTGAAATCACTTTGCTTTGTGCTGACAGGCACTGCGATAGGACAGGGAGACTTCTTAGTAGACTCTTATCTTTCTAGGAAGAGGCTGGCTAGATACACAGAGACTACTTCCTTTGTTCTCTGAGTGGTTGGTGGCAACTGCAAAGACCTCTACCAGGGATGTTTGGTATAAGGTTTAACTACAAGATGGATTACTTGCTCTTTTAACACACCACATTAAAAACTCATTCTTTTAAAGCTGTAGCCCAAAAGTGGTACCTTAGAGAACTATTAGACCTACATTCAGGAACTGTGTCTTAACTGTTAATCATGTCTTGAAATAACATACCAAGTAAAATTACATATTTTAAATCTCCTCAGTGAACTGTGGGAAAAAAAAAAAGTTCTTGTTCCTCTACCTAAATAAACTAGTAACAAATGAATTGTTCTAGAAATTATCAGTGGAAAAATTCTGAGCTATTCACTTTCCTGTGACATTCCAAACTCATTTCCATGAGGCTTTAGATAGGCTGGAATTCTCTAAAATCTCTATACAACTGTGAAAACTTCTTTAGATAGCATTGCTAGAAACTTTCCAGCGAAGTGGAAAATTTGGTGGTTGAACCCAAAAGAAAACAAACTCCCAAAAATCCTATTAATGACTGTTAATGAGTACAATTTATAAAACCAAAGTGCAAAACTTGTAAGATATTTATAAGCAAGGTTAAACATCGCCCTGTAAACTGTTATCAAGAACTGTTCAGTGTGGTCTAATATGGCTGTGATAATTCTAGCTCTGTGACCAGTGACTATATTTAAAAACTAAAGTCACCTCACTGACCATACCAAATCACAAAGGAAAGTTACAAGCAATTACTTTAAACTCTAGCAAGGCCATGTACACAGGCCAACAGTGACTAGAGTTCATCTGCATTTAAATGGATTCCTGCACATACTGAAACTAAAAACAGGTTATAAGACTTGCCAGGAGTTAGTTTCGCCTGCTGGCAAAGAAGTATTCCCCTAATTCTTTAACATGTAACACTGTACTCGGCAACATGTTAAATAAGTAAGAGCATTCAGAATTGCTGAATTTTTCCTTACTGAAGTGTTCCTTCAAACAAGTCTCTCAGGGTGACAGGCACTGTACTAGGTTACACTGCAACTTTGGAGGGTTGTTATGCTGAAATATCTGAGTGGCAAGAGGACAAATATTGTATGATCCCATTTATATGAAATACTTACAATAGGCAAATGCACAGAGAAGTTTATTAGTGGATACTAGGGACGGGGGGGCGGAGAAATGGGGAGGTAAGTAAGTTAAGATACTGAGTGTCTGTTTATAGGGATGATGGCACTCAAGCTTAGGAATCACTGAATCTCAAATCCATTAAAAAAAAAAAAAAAGTAACAGCCATACCCAGTTACTTAATGGGAAGCACTTTGCAACAACAAAATTCAGAAGCCTCCTGGCTCAATTTATGAGCTGTGAAAGTCTTTAAGACATGGTATCACGCTTCCATAGGCTGGAACTGCTGAAAACCTTAGTAAGAATGATTTGAACACACTATTATGTTTGACAAAGTAAGTAAAATCTTTCCAAATCATTGACTTACTATGTTGAAATGTGCTTTAGGTCACTACAAATCTATAATAGATAATACATTGTAGCTGTTTTTTCCTTTCCTAGGTAGAATGGATCATGTGGAAAGCTACTCTATCGCTTTCAGAGATTTTGTCAACACAAAACAAAAAAGGGAAACAAAAAACCAAATCTAAGCACTTTCTACTTTGGTTTATTTCTAAAACAGATCATTAACATACTAAAAAAAAAAAAAGTGCCTCCTTTAACTTAGGTGTGGAGACAAGTCACAAGACAAGTCTGCTTTGCCCATGTATCACTGCTCCTGGCACTATGAGAGAGCCTGATGCCAAGTGGAAGGACGAGAGACATGGCCAACACTGGCAGGATGAAGAGCCTTCACTTCCCTTGAAGAGTCACCCACTGGCCCCAGACCGTTCAATAACCATGACTGACCTAATGTGATGTCAGATGGAGAATACTGGCTCCCGAGGCTTAACTAAATGAATCCCAGTAAAGTCCTGTTTCCTTCAGTAGGCTTTACAACTACACAGAAGGCATGACCCTGAGCTCCACAGTCGTCTGAAATGGAAGCTGAACTACTGTTCCTGACAAATGATGCTATGGTATATCTATCTGTGACGCATTCTCCCAACTCAGAGATCTTCTGCGCGTGCTTGCTCTGCTCCAAGGCTTACATGCACAACACCTCACTCTGACTTTTCAGAGAAAGTAACGACAAATCTGTCAGGTGGAGGCACACTGTTTAAAAACAAACATTAATGCTCAGACAGACCGATCCTTCTTTGCTGCTGAGGCTGATGCACACCTGGCCAATACAATTCTTCCCCAGGTCAGAGGAACCAATTTGTGATGCTGGAGGAAATGGCCCTTACAGTCCTTTCCCTATTACTGACTTTCTAAAAAGTTCCAACAGGAGAGTCACTTTAGTAGTCACATTTTTTCAGGTATATAAGTAACTTATCAAAATAGCTGACGAAATCAAATTTATTTCACAGAAAAATTTCGGCTACTATGATGTGAAAAGCCACAAAATCAATCTGGAACATTTTGATGTCAACATCCAGTCCAAGGATCAAATCAGGCATCATACTGTCACTTCTCTCTGCCACCGGCACAGCGGGTGGGTTTGGAAGACTTAAAGAACTATCCTCCCCAACAACAAGCCATACCTGGTAGGGACTCCTGCTCTGCAAGCAAAACAAAGACCAGATCAGTTTGGTTGCTTCTATGAAATTGTTTATTTAGATCTGCTTTACTGGAAGAATGACTTTTATTCATTAAGTAGAGTGAATGGATTCCCCAAAAAGGAAGGAAGACTAGATAATAACAATAAAATATTACCTAACATTTATTAAGTAATCTCTATATACCAGGCAATGCCATTTTACTTAATATTCACAATACTCAAGAGCCAGGTACTATTATTATCCCCATTTTACAGATGAGGAAACTGAGGCACAGTGTTAAATTAAAAAAAAAAAAAAAAAAAAAAAAAAAGAGGCAGAGCTGGCATTCAAAGCCGCATGGTCTGACTTCAGAGCTCAAATCTGGAACCATTAAGAGTAGGGCAGCAGGGACTGGCCTTGGTCAGTTCTGCTATAAACCAGCTCTGAAACACACATTCAAACCACTTTACTTCTCTGGGTCTTATCTTTATTTGTGAAATGAAGGGGCTTTATCATATTATTTGTAAGGTTTCGCCTAATGTCAAAAGTGAGATGGATAAATGTTAAAATTAGTACTCTTCTGGCTTAACGACTGAATACTTTAAACTCTAAAATTTGGCAGGCCTGGACCAGTATGGTAGCATCAGAGGTATACAATAGACAGATAAGGATAAATTTAATCTATATAACCTAAAAGATCTTGTAAAACTATTGTCTGGGTCCCAATTTTTGTTTTAAACATTTAAAACTGTCCTTGAATTAAGTTTTCGTGCCTTTAACAAAGTAAAGCTCTCTGGAGTCTTTCTAAATGGTTCTTAACATTCCCTTTGTTCTTTGCAGCCAAATACCACGAAAACTAATTTCTTCTCCCAAAAAGTACTCTCCTTATGAATCCTTTGTCAAAGTAAGCATAGCTATACAATATACATGCACATATACATACGTATGTATGTATGCATATGTGTATGTATCATATGCATACATATCCCTGGTGTGACCTGTGAATAAGCCTCGCAAAACACAACCCAACAGATAGGTTTCTTAACTACAGACATCCGTCCTCTTCTACTCTATTAAAAACAAAGACTTCCTTTCAATCAATTCTCATGAGAATGAAGATGGAGAACTTTACGAGAAGACAAATTTAAAAAGTCCTCTATAACAGGAATTGACAAAAATAAACAAAAAACTTCCCAGTATGCCACATCACTCTGAAACTTGCTCCCAAACTTAGAGTAACTAAAGCGAATAGAAGAAATGATGAAGTAAAAGAGCTGAACAGAAGATCTCAAGGGGCGGCTCGAGAAGACGAAGTACTATAACAAAATGTGCAAAGACCAGGAGTTAGAAAACCAAAAGGGAAGAACACGCTTGACATTTCTCACACTGAAAGAACTGAAGAAAAGATTCAAGCCTCAAGTTGCAATACTGAAGGACTCTATGGGCAAAATATTGAATGACACAGGAAGTGTCAAAAGATAGAAGGAATACAGTGAGTCACTGTACCAAAAAGAATTGGTTGACATGCAACCATTTCAGGAGGTAGCATATGATCATTAACTTACAGTACCGAAGGAAGAAGTCTAAGCTGCACTGAAGGCACTGGCAAAAAACAAGGCTCCAGGAATTGATGGAATATCAACTGAGATGTTTCAACAAACGGACGCAGTGCTGGAGGTGCTCACTCATTTATGCCCACAAATTTGGAAGAGAGCTACCTGACCAACCGACTGGAAGAGATCCATATTTGTGCCCATTCCAAAGAAAAGTGATCCAAAAGGATGTGGAAATTATTGAATATCACTGATATCACATGAAAATTTGCTGACGATAATTCAGAAGCAGCTGCAGCAGTACATCGACAGGGAACTGCCAGAGATTTAAGCCAGATTCAGAAGAGGACATGGAACAAGGGCTATCGTTGCTGATGTCAGATGGATCTTGGCTGAGAGAAAATCAGCAAGATTTTTACCTGTGTTTTATTGACTATGCAAAGGCATTTGACTGTGAGGATCACAACAAATTATGGATAATGCTGCAAAGAATGGGAGTTCCAGAATACGTAACTGTGCTCATGAGGAAGCTATACCAAAAAGCAGTCAGTCGTTCCAACAGAACAAGCGGATACTGTGTGGTTTAAAGTCAGGAAAGGTGTGTGTCAGGGTTGTATCCTTTTACCGTGCTTATTCAATCTGTATGCTGAACAAATAATCTGAGAAGCTGGACTATATGAAGAACAGGACAGCAGAATTGGAGGAAGACTCATTAACAAACTGTGATATGAAGATGATACAATCTTGCTTGCTGAAAGTGAAGAGGACATGAAGCACTCACTGATGAAAATCAAAGACTACAGCCTTCAGTATGGATTATACCCCAACATAAAGAAAACAAAAATCCTCACAACTGGACCAATAAGCAACATTATGACAAACAGAAAAAAGATAGAAGTTGTCAAGGATTTTGTTTTACTTGGATCCACAATCGATGGGAGCAGTAGTCAAGAAATCAAATGACGTATTGCAGTGGACAAATCTGCGGCAAAAGACCTCTCTAAAGTGTTAAAAAGATGTCACTTTGAGGAATAAGCGTGACTGACCAAAGCCACGGTATTTTCAATTGCCTTATATGCATGTGAAAACTGGACAATGAATAAAGCAGCCTGATGAACTGATGCCTTTAAATTACAGTGTTGGTGAAGAATACTGAAAATACCATGGACTACCAGAAGAACGAATAAATCTGTCTTGGAAGAAAGCACAACTAGAATGTTCCTTAGAAACGATGATGGTGAGACTTCATCTCACATACTTTGGGCATGTTATCAGGAAGGACGACTCCTTGGAGAAGGACATATTGCTTGGTAAACTAGAGGGTCAGTGAAAAAGAGGAAGACCCTCAATAAGATGGACTGACACAGGGGCTGCAACAATGAGCTCAAGCATAGCAAGGATTGAGAGCGTGGCGCAAGACCAGGCAGTGTTTTGTTCTGTTGTACACAGGGTCACTATGAGTCAGAATCGACTTGACGGCACCGAACAATAACAACATGCCACATCTTGACTCTCAGATTTTATGCCTTTCAATCCTTCTCCTCCTTGCCTATGTGAAAGAATAAAAAGTGTGGCCTAACTATTAAATGTACAATACTAAAAAAGTCTTTCTTCAACATTTCTCTGCTATTGTCTTTTCCCAAACTAGCTTCCTCCGGGTTTTTTTCCTGACAAATTTTGTGGAAAAAAAGAGGGGAGGAGGGGTTGCTGTCATTTTATCCCTAAAAAAGTAGGTGCCATGATTCTAACTATAGACAGGCAGGCAGGCATCTGGCCACCACAAACAAAAGCCACAATGAATTTTGTGAACTGTTCTAAACTTTAGCTCATCCTTATACCATTGTCAGTTTTCTAGTCCTACTCTTCCAACAGTTTATGTATTGCTCAGGCTATCAGTTAGATATGGGAGAATTGTTATCACATGTTTTTTAAACTAAGATACTCCAAAACTTCAATTGTGGAAATGTTAATCACACTTCTTCACCTAAGAATTTTTATCATCTGAGCTCCTACTGTTGCTAAATAGGCTTTCCTCGATCAGAATGACCTATACCAATGGTCCCAAATACTGCTAAGCCTGCCCTGTTCTCTGGTTCTACTGAAGAGGATGCACAGGTTATCTCACTCTTTTCAGGATGGCTTAGGGTCATCTCTGCCTTCTAAACAACTTCACAAAACAGGGAAACTGGAGAAAAACCCTGTCTGAAAATGGTGAGTATGATCTGCTCTGGAGATAAGCTGATCAATGCCTAACTGGGCAGTGCATGACTAAGGGGTGCCCAATTCCAGCTAACTGATGGGGAGTGGATATGAAGAGCAAGGGAAAGCAAGCCTCCATGCGTGTGACCACAGTCACCCACCAACACTGCTTACCGAGGGGCATGCCTTAGATGTTCTCTCTAAGAAAAATCTGCCCCTTTCCACAGTGGATCTCTGCTCACCTTTGTCCTAAAACTGTGCCACATGCTTTTCTTTGTATGTGGACATGACAGTCCTCAGCCACCATCAGCAGGATGTGAGTTTTGTTTTCCCAATGTGGTGAGCCATTCCCACATTCACTCATTTTCCTTGTAAGAACCGAACCTCTCCATGGCTGGTCAGGATTAGGGATGTTGCTGTAGCCAAGGAAAAATTTTCATCTGTTGAAGTTAACCCATGGGTGGCTTGAGCCCTCAGTCTAGAGTCAATAACACTGTACTTTAAGGGCAGAGTCTTTATGGCATTCAATGAACAGGAATCAAACACCTTATTTTTAAAACAGTGTTGGTCCAATGCTTCAGCAAACTTGGTTTTATGAGGTGAAAAAAGTTAGCACACATTGACAGGACAGTAATAAAAAACAGTAATTCTTGTGGTCTGAATAAAGTGCTTGGAAAATTGTAGAAACACACTTCTGCAACCAGCTCTCTAGTGCTCAGGTTAGGCCAACTCACAGAAAAGTTTATAAATAAGAATAGTGCAATTGTCCCTGATTCCAAAGGTCTGCAATATTCCAGGGAACCAGCAGTCAGGCCCTCAAAGTAGAAATAGCCAATGGCACATTTATTGCTCTGGGTCAATGACTATGGTTTCAATTTAACCTTCCCGGTTACAGAGGGTTGTTTATAACCCACAAAATAGTGCTTATTTTTCCAGCCACTGGGAGCTCCTACCACATTAAGCAGGTCCATGAGATCCTTTCCTATCCTAACACAGGAGGCTGCCGTGGGCATTCTAGCCTCCCTTCTTTAGTCTCTGAGGAGTGAGGGCCATCAAGGTCACCCGGAGAAGGTGGATGACTTACCCGTGCTCAATGAGTGGCAGAGCTGGGGTGCGACTTCAGGGCTCACCATTACCCAGTCTGGGGCTCTTTTCCCGTCGGCAAACTGGCAGTTCCTGTATACCAAGAGCTCTCTGATTAGAGCTAGTGTGGATTCCTGGTCTGCAAACGTTGACCACAGCTCAGTCTGCACTTGATCTTTCCCCACCTTCAAAGAAGAAAACCTACCTCATGATTTCTCTCTTCTAGACCTCCTGACCATCTCATTCACTCCCAACAAGCTCTCTAGTTGCCCTTTCAGTCTATTGTCAAGTTCTACAACTTTCTCATTCTGCAGGGCCCACAGTGCTGTCTCTACCTGTCTGAGTAACTTAATTCTAGGTTGTGGCTATTTTTACCTAGTCAACTTGTCTCTTTACAGGTAGCAAGGAAAGTCAGCTGTTACATCATTCCTTTGCTCAGAGGTCTGTTATGACTCCTTAATATTTCTATTTATGTCATTCTCTTAACCAAAAACACCTTGACGACACAAGATGAACCACATTGACTTTCTTCCAGGTGACTGAGAATTATCTATTTCATGAAGCCTCAAAAACTTGCCTGCCTCCAATCATTTTAGCTTTAGCACTTCTATTCAAGTTTATATATTATCTGGCCATGTTTTTGTGGCTTTTCAAGCTTTGTTCTTTTTTCTTCGTGCTTATCCTTTCATTTGATTATGAGCTCCTTAATAATAACAAAAGCTGATATTTATTATTTAGCATAGTGCCTGGCACACAGCAAAGAATTTATTTCATTCATTCCTCATGACCAATGTGAAGAATGCACTATTATTATTCCCAACTCACAAGTGAGAAAACTGAGGCTTAAAGAGGTTAAGCAACTTGATTACTGTCAGGGAGCTTGTAAGTGGTGAAACTGGATTTGAACCCAGATCCATCTGACTCCAAAACCCAAGTTCTTAACCACAAGGCTATACTGCCTATACAAAGGCAGCTGCTACTTCTTCTCTTCCACAGTCCTGAATACAATCTTTTTCATTCAACTTCACTGACTTAATCATAATCTAACCTCAGACAGATCAGGTTTTGTTGGAGTTTTCTGATACAGTGAGGTGAAGTAGCCAGGGAAAAAAGAAACTGATCATGGGACAGGGCAAAGCACCTCTAAGATAGGGATATGTGACAACCAGGTTACTTTCACTCTTGTCTTTTGATTCCCATTAGCCAGTGCCAGCCATTTGGTCCTTCCGAAAACATGTGTGGGTTCAGAACATAACAGACTGGAAGAATAGAGGAAAAATAAGATTATTCTGTGCAATTCCCATTCTGGAGGCCCCACATCAACCCCTGGAGTCTATCTTTGTTTCTAAGACTTGGTAAAAATTAGGCCAGCATAGAGTAGAAAGCTGGGCCTAGAGGTGGTTGGTCTGAATGGATACTGACAATATTTCATATATTTAAAAATGCATCTTATCAGTTTTGCAAGGGATGATGACTGGGACCAAAACAAATATAAGTATAAAATGGTAGGGGAAAAACTGATCAGAAATCAAAGCAACTACGTTTCTAGACTTCTAGTTATAAAGATTACAGCAGCAACCAAAAAAGTGCTTTCCAGATAAGCACCTAAGACCGGATTTGGTTTTGATAAATTCCAAACTATTATTAGCTTGACTACGCCAGTCCACCAGGACGTTTTCCTTCTTCAAATTCCTTATTACTATTACTATTTTTTAAAATGTCTTACTATGTATCAGGCATTGTGCTATGCTTCACATATACCATTCAATTTTCACAACTCTAGGGTTTACTGTTATCTCACAGAGGAAGGTTAACTTAGAAAGGTTAAGTAACTTCCCAAGGATACACAAACATCTCGGATTCTTCAAACTCAGGCTTTAATCTAAAATCCACTCTGTCATTACGCTCTTCTGCCTCCTGTACACCAATGGGAAGAAGTGGTCCATAAGACTAAACGTAGTTTGAGAAACACAAGCTCTAGGAGCACAGAAAATCAGTTTCATCAAATTATGTTCTGTAGCGTGGAAGACAAATACCCACATGAATATTAGCATCTTATGAGAAATACTGAACGGCAAGAAATACCATTTCTGCATCTGATGTGTTCAAATACTAATGTTGTGAAAATTCATTCTCTTCTAAGCTACTACTGAATCAAACCTATAATCAAAACGTTAACACCAGTCTAGGAAAACAGAAACCAATATTGAGAACACAAAACAGAAACCAGCATTGAAAACACAAATATATTGGTAAGAAAACTAAACTCATGACCCTCCTTTCTCACAAAATAAACCATCTAGTGAAAAAACTTCTAATGAAAAAGAAATAATCAAACTCAGTCCCCAGGTGCTGTACCCACAACGCAGATACCACCAGTCCGTCTCTAAAGGAATACTCACATACCACACTGGGGTGGAGAAAACAGGATAGGAATAATCATTATCCTAAAAACTAAACAAGGAAACAAAATTCCCCAGAATGGGAGGAGGTAGAGACAAATCTGTATCAAATTCAGATTTAGCCTCATTTTGTAACTGGGTCCTAAAACGAACTACAGTGGCTACATTATTTCACTTTCACTAGGCTGCCACATATTTTTATTTCTCTAAAATGGAACTATGCAGAAAACAACATACTTGCAAATAGCTCGTGGATCAAATGATCATAATCTGTTAATTTTGACATTTTTAAGACAACACGGTCACTTTCCTTAAAGAGGGGCCAACACAATCACACTTGTGTTCATTTCAATTTCCTGGCACTTAACACTGAGGGTAAATGAAACTAAAAGGTCTCACAAGGGGGGATCAACTATTTCTCGACAGCATACTAAAGTTCCTGGAGACTCAGTCACAAATTAAAAACAATTAAAACGCAAGGAAGAAAAAGTTATATTACCAATCTAGAATAAAATTCTTGGGCCATTAGACAATTACCGTATGTCCTACTTAATGCAACAAAGGTTTTACGCTCAGCAGACGGTACTACCTGATTTCACACCAAAGCTACAAACACAAAACCAGTTCATACTTACCTCTAAAATGACATGAGAGGGTTGACAGGTGTTAAAGCCTCTTAGAGATTATGCCTCTGGGACTATCTTGGCTGTTCCCATGTCCCTCATAACTGCCCCAAGGTCCCAGGGCTGCAGTCTGTGTTTTCTTCTTCTTCTTTAATTTTTAACTTTTTGGTTAAAGAGATGACACTCCCTACTGTATTTCCTGGGGATGTCCTTCCCTTGAAATTGGCCATATCATTCATTTACTATTTTTAGTGAATTTTTCAAATTCTTTTAACATCATGGATCAGTAGCTTCATTTCATCCATGTGAAAAAACTTTTCTCAAAGTCAGTGTCTCTGGTCTGTGGTTCCTGACTCCCCTGCCTGAGTCTCCTGCTCTCTTATTCCTGAGGGCTGAATTCAAACTACACCCCTTCAGTCTCCCCTCTTTCTCTAGGTCGTAGAGGTCTCTGTTCACGAAGACCTACCTTTCTGGCATACAGGCCTAAAGACATGGTTGGGGGACCTGGCAGAGGGATAACAAGTGTCATTCAAGTGCTTCTTCAGGTATCATTCGCCTTTCAGAGACCTCCAGACAGGAAGCCTCTCATCTCAACACGTAGGAAAGGTCATCTAGGGCATTTTCTCAATATATGGGCATGTAAATTCAGAGCACTCTGATCCTTCACCTTCAGGATACTCCAAGGCCAGACAGCCCTAGGAATGAGACGTGGTCAGCCACGACAAAGCTGATACCACCTTACAGCTTTTCAAAGAGGAGCTTGAGGAGGAGAATCACTGGTAGTCCCATCCAGGGTCAGCATCATAAAAATTACCATGTCTTACTCGGCAGTAACTTGTTAGCTTGTTGGAAGCCTCTACATAGAGACCAAATATTGAACAGGCTGAAGGCCTTGCCTCACCCTGGGAGACAAGTCCCAAAAGGACAGGGCTGAACCATCTGGAAGGAACAGCATGAGAGAAGCTTTGACTGCCACTGTGCATGCTGTTATCTGCTTTGTCAATAAGAAAGACCTTCAGTTTCTGAGCTGTCAATAAATCATTTTGTAACATTGGGCAAGTCAATCTCCCCAAGCCTTAGTTTCCCCATTAGCACAAACTATGAACAACACTCATTTGCAAAGTGCTTTGTATATGCAGTTGTATACTACTAATAAAACAAGGATAGAATGCTACTTTGTCCATAGTCCTGTTTCTTATTTTTATTATCTATTCAAGAAGAAGGTCTTGATTAGAATGCATGAGACCATTTTCACGTGTTAAATTGGTAAAGATTTTTAAAAATAAGGATGCTCAATGCTGATGAGGCTACCATGACACAGGCACACTCATACGCTGCTGGTAGAAATGTGACTGGAGCAGCTTTTCTGGAAAGTTATTTTGCTACATGTTCATTCCTGCTGTGACACATGAATTTTACTTCATAGAATCTGTCCTAAGGAATGATAAAAATGGAAACAAAATTTTATGCACAGATATCTACCACAGGGTTATTTGTAACAGCAAGAACTAGTCAACCTAGGAGGGATGGTTGGGGTAAATCATGATACAGTCACATAAGGGCTTTTATGCAGCCATCAAAATAATGTTTATGAAGATTTTAATGTCATGGAAAAAACACGTGATAAATTAAGTAGAAAAAGTGGCACACAAAATTGCATAAAAGACCTCACCAATGTTAAAAATATTCTTAAAAAGTTACTTTGAAAAAAGTTCTTGTTAGGCTAAACAGATGAGCTAAAAATGCTAAGACGACTTCCTTGTATATAATTTTAAATATTTTAATTTAAAAAAAAAATCACAATATCTAGAGCAGTTGAGACCTCAGAAAAATAAGGACTCTTAAACATGGCAGGTGAAAACATAAGTACTATTTTACTAGAGTGCAAAGGAAACCAATAGCTAGCAAGGCCTTAAAAATGTGTATATGCTTTGATCCCAAAAGTCCACTTTTAGGAATCTGTTCTAAGGTAATAATTAGAAATGTGTACAAGATTTACATAAAGGATATTCATAACAGTGTTACATATTTTTGTCCTCCTCTATATTGAAAAATGAAATTTATGATAAAATTGCCAAGCTTTTATAATCAGAAATAAACATGCTATTTTAAAATGTTACAATACAAATAAACAATGGGCTTTTAATGTTAGCCATGTATAAACAGGGTTGTTGAAACCCTTCTTTAAATAAAACTATGTTTTAATCTTAGATAATTATAAAATCAATCTAAAACTAAATGCCCTACCTAGTTTTCTTTGGACTGGGCAGTGTTTCGTTCTGTTGCACACAGCATCACTATGAGCTGGAATTGACTCAATAGCACCTTACAACAACAACAACAGTTTTCTTGATACACAGATTCAAATCCTTGGTACATGTGTGTCCAAATGTGACATTATTTCTGAGGGCAGAATTGCCCATAAACAAAAAGGTGATGAGATCCTTAAAGGGGAAGTGTTTGCTTTTTCTTTAGCCATTTTTGTCACCTATTTTATCATTATAATAAAAATAATAAAGCATTTATCTGCTTTATTGGTGGAAGGGTGATTAAGAATTCACTAATAGTTCAGTTAACTGGAATTCAATGACCTAGAACGTTATACTAACTATATTTCCCCTTTAAAAGAAAACATGAAAAACAAGCTCTCATCAGGGATTCAGTCAAAAGAAAAAAATCCTTCTGTAGGTCCTGGGGTTAGCAGAGATTCATTTTAGTATCTTCCACCTAACAGTGCCCTACAGTGATCAGGACACATGGAACAACAACCCGACTCACTGAAAATCTTAAACAACAGATTTAAAAAATTAACTATTTTCTACACTAACGGACATTCTACTTCAAGGAATTTTCAACAAGGGTGAAAACAAAACTTTCTTGCTAATACTTAGATACTGTGAAAATCCAAATAAATAGATCAGCACACCCCTGAATATTCTGGCTATTCACGATTTCACTGTAATATAAAACATAGCTTCTGAGATTTATAGTCAAGCTTCCCTTGAGAGTTTTAATTCATGCCTTTAATCAACTAAAAACTCAATGACTTGGAAGTTACCCTTTCAGCTATTAGGCAGGTAAGATAATCTTTAGATTTGGTAAGTTTTATTTCATTAAATACGGAAAAATTAAGATATAAAAAGATCTGACTTAAACCACAAGATTTTACTTTGCAGTAATACAGAAACTACTGTACTAAAAAACACACTTCTATAACGATTCTTGTAAATTAAATAGTTAACAGCCTGTTTTTAATAGTCCACGGGGTGGGGGGATGCTGCCTTTCTGTGACGGTGCTTAAAAATGTTAAGTTCAAAACAAATCCTTTCATAAACAATTGATTTTGTAAATCTAAATAAATAGTATACTTAATTAACAAAAATTATGACATTCAGAAAGAAAATCAATCATAAATATAGATGTCTTTCTGAGGTTGAACTAAATATGCATTTGCACATTTAAGTATATATAAGATACTAATCTGCTGCTGCTTCTTGGTTATCAAGTATTTTCTAAGAAAGTGATTTATTAATAAAAAAAGAAAATCCATAGAATTCACATATACATAAACAGAGACAGCCAGTTAGTTACCATAGAGATGGAAGGCTACAAACAGGGGCTGACAATACTGTTGCTTCCTTGAAACCCTCCTAAGATTCTCCCCTGGACCCACAGTGGCTTCTTGCTGGAGTTAGTGCAGCAGGTAGGAATATAGGTGACCCTAATGGGATCTGGGATCTGAAGTGGCCCATACAGCCCTGGAAGATCTACATCAAGTTTGTGGCCCCAAACTGACCCATCTTTCTAGAAGTTCTCCAAAACAGAGGTAATCTACAGTAAATCCTTTAAGTGGCTGATCTTGACTGGATCTCTCTGACCATTTCAGAACTGATGGAACTTTTAGCATTCAGGGATGGTGTTGCTGTGTAGTTGACAAGACTATAAACACCTTTAGTCTGAAGTATCGCCCTGGGGTTGCCTGGCACAATAAAATGGCCAGCAATGAACTACCGCATACATAACTATTCTGTAAATCCCAAAAGGGTCCAGAAAATCCTCTTCTGGCCACTAAATCTCCTTTGGGGAGCTCATCTGCTTCCTTATTTTGTCAGCTTTCTATTATGCCCTATTTAATTAATCCTGAACTTTATCCACAACCCTTCAGCCTAAGGTACCTACTGCTGCTGAGTCAATTCTGACTTATGACGACCCCATGTGTTGTACAGCAGAACCACTCCCTAGGGTTTTCTTGGCTATAATCTTCATGGAAACAGATTACCAGGCCTTTAGGTTAGTAGTCCATCACAAACCACTTGTGCCACCCAGAGACCTACCTACTGATATATCTCACTTCTACCACAAATTTGAACCCTTCAGCAATTCTTCCTACCCATACAAAATCTGTTTTTGAGTTTTAATTACTAATCATCACAATCCAGACATGCTTGAAGATGCTTCTCAGTATCTACTATCCTTCTCAGTTTCCAGGACTATGAGCTTACTCGTGTTGTTAAAGTCAGTCATCTTTTCCTTTTGTACCTACTCTTTCCTTTCAGACTCTTGCATTTCTGCCATCTAGTCCAGTCAATTTTTAATTGAACTTCATCTTTACCATTGATTTTCTTCTCAGAAGTCATTTTCCTCTGCACTAATTCCTGAATGCTGCTAGGACATCATACTCTGCCCATCATTTTGTGATTGTCACACCTGTCTTCAAAATCCTCAAATGACTTCTCATTATTTCAGTCTTAACTTTCAATCACTGATTTCATGAATATTATGGCTTAGTGGCAGAACTGTAAGAATGAACAGCTCCTGAAATGACACCCAGGTATTCAGGTTCCTGGAAGAATTTGTCCTTCCCGTCAGCACACCATTTCCAGGGTTGCTCAATTCTTTCAAGAGCCTTTTGAATCCATGATTTTGAATGTTCCATGATGTTTCTGGGTTATGCTTTATGTTAAATTTCTAGATCCTTCATGAGGCTGATAATCCAAACTAGATTGTTTGTTATTTCTCACAAATGCTCCTTACTGGAGCACTTCCTCCTCACCAGTTAGAGCATACTCTATTCTCAAACACTTCTCTCCATTCTAAGCCACAGTCAAGCCATTCTTCAAAGCACGTTTCAAACAAATCTTTTCAAGTAAACCATTACAAGTTTTACTTGTTTGAATTTATAGCGAGAACAAGCATTTATTTCTTCACACAAAACGTGCATGTTATAACCATTAACACTTAATTTACTCAAGAGCAGAACTGTTTTTCTGCCTCCTCCCCAGTTACATTTAACACAGTATCAGGCATCTTATTGGTGGGTAATCAATATTTTATCCATTAACCAGTTTCCTCATTAACATTAACATCATCTCCTGCTCACTGGGTATCACCAGAGGGACCTCAGAAAACAGACCTAACCAAGTATGCTTTACGTTATTAAACACTTGGTCTTCTAATGATCACAAACAATCTCTTTGGTTATAGTTATCTCTTACTGGAAGCCTGCTATAAGTCAAATGTTTTAAATTTGTTATCTCATTTCTCTTTTTCCATGTGGGTGAGGAAATTTAGTTCAAAGAAGTCAAATAACTTGTCCATAACTTGTAAATGGTGGAGCCAAACCCAGGTCTGCCTGGCTTTGAAACCCATGCTTTTCCCACAAAATGTAGTTTATCTGTCAACTTAGTTGGGCTCTGGGAAAAACTGAAGTTTTAAACTTGATCTCTCAGATTCATGATATGTATCACAATAACACCAAAATTCCCCACTTTATTTAGTATATTCCTAAGAACTAAAAATACTATTGTACAAAATGGGAAATTTCCTAAGCCTTTTACTCAAAAAGAAATCAGTATTCATGAACACTTTATTTAGGACATTCTCCTCAGCAAGAAGGTGATTCCTCCTAAAGATCAATTTGAAATGGCTTTTTAAATCCAGACAACAGTTTGAGTGTCTGGTAGCTACCGACTTTTCTCAAATATGCAACTTATTCTTAAGTATCTTTCATAACATCTCAAAAGTCAGCTGCTAGTATCATACTGGGGAGTAAACTGTTGCCACATCAAACTTGTTGAAAGTAAGGACTTAAAAAAAGAAAATTAATGCCAAGGGTTCCTCTAACATCCAAGGTTAAGTGTCCTAAAATATTCCCATTTTTTTTTTTTTATATCCATGTCTTTCAAGTCCTACAATCGAACATTTCCTGATTCCCAGTTTTCCGCGCTACCTTCTCCTGGCCTCACTCTTCATGTGTTTTCCCTGAAACGTGTAGCCCCTACTGGCCCTGCTCTGCCAAAGAAGATCATTAGAAATACAAGTATCAGACAGCACTTGGGGAAGCAAAAAGCTAGCAATTTCGAGAAATGTGTCTGTTTGCACTAACTAGTTGAGGCAGATGCTGACCAAGGTGGCCAGTATTCTCTAACAAATTCTACAACGGCAAAGCAATTTTTTTGGCAACGGAAACCACAGCATGGAAACTCTGCACGGAGTCTAAAAGGTAACGAGTTAAGACTTTAATTGACCCTTGTAGGGGCAACGGTGAGGGCTTTCGGCTAGGCAAGACGATACTTTCGAAACTGTCACTAGACTATTTAAACCAGAGTCTCCCGCCCAAAAAAGCATGCATATGGCCAAGTCTAAAAACAGCCTCCCTCCAGAACTCCCGACCCCGGGAAAGATCCGTGGTGACCGTCCGATCCATTAGACTGGGAGAGAGGCAAAAAGGGAGCAGGAAATCCTGTTTATTTCCAGCAGCTCTAAGAGCGGGAAAGGTCGTTCTCTTCGCCGAGACGAACCAGGCCTCAGTGCTAGAGCCCAGGAAGAAAAAACCTAGGCGTTCCCAGAGCCGTGGAGCTGTTGTCTCCCGCCCGGAGCCCCAATCCCACTCGGGTTTTCCTTCTCCTCGTCCCACTCAAATCCTCTCCGTCGTTGCCATTATCCCTCTACCACCCCCACCCGCGCAGGCGCAGTGGGAACCGGGGCCTACCCGCGCCCCCATGGCGCCGCAACTATGGCGGAGCCAGACAAGGCCGGTAGCTGCTCCGCGCGGGGCAAGCGTTCTTCTCCGACCCGACGCCTCCCGGGCACCACCGGGGTCTTGTCCCCACCCGGCCGGCCCCTCTTCCGCCCTCCTCACCCGTTCTTCAGATCCACCTCCAGGATCTTCCCGTAGCCCTTAAAGAAGCGCTCCACATCGCGCTCCCGGGCCTGGTAGCTCAGGCGGCCGATGTACACCCGCGGCATCCCGGCAACGGCAGTGGAGGCTTAGCCCAGCCCCAGCCCCCCCTAGGCGGCGGCCGGCGAAGCGAGAGCGCGGCGGCAGCGACGGCGGCAGCGGCAACGGGCGGGCGGCGGGACGGACGCAGCCGAACCCGGCGACGTACGCGAGCACGTAGCTCGCGAGCGCGCGCCTCCCGCTTCCCCCACCCTCCCCTCAGGCGGAGGTTACGGGAGGGAGCGCGCGTTCGCTTGCCGCCCGGCCAGGGCTGGGGGCGGGGCCTACCCGAGGGCGCGCCGGCGTCGGGCGGAGCCAGATGATCGACAGGCGGCGCTAGCCGTCCGCTCTGCGGCACGTCCTCTCGCGAGTGCGTCGTGGAGAGCCAGCACCGCCTTCGCAGCTCGCTAGCCTTGCTTCTCCTTCCGGAAATGGCTGCAGCTCCTCGCTCTGGGATTCGCTCCCCGTCTGGCGATGGTTCCTTCTTTTGTCCTTTGAACCGGGAGTGGTTTCGATATTGAGGCCGGAGCTTTTGAATTGTGCCTGGCTTCTGCATCTTTGTGTATCCGTGACCTTGGGCTTGTTACGCTACCTCTCTGAACCCCGTTTATCTTCTCTGCAAAAGGGGCATGTAACTCCTACCTTACAGAGTCGTCTTGAGAATTATGTGAGAATAGGTACGGAAATCACTTAATACTGTTCCCGGAAGTGCCCGATAAATGATACCAATATTATATAAAAGATAGGACACAAAGTGGAGAAGGGTGGGACTTTGAGGTCAGACTAGGCATGACATTGAGTAAATTACTTGACCATTACAATCTATTTCGTAATCTATAAAATTAGGATAATTGATAGCCATCTCAATGGACTATCGGGATTACTGAATGGAGCTGTGTATGTGGAAGTGCTTGCAACAACGCCTGGAACGTGGTAGGGGCTCAATAAATATTGGTTCTCTTCTCATTAACCCCAATTTACTTAGAACCATGTTGTAGTTAGGTGCCGTGGCCTTGATTTTGACTCATAGCGACCCCATATGACAGAGCAGAACTGCCTTATAGGGTTTTCTCGGTGGAGGCTCCTCTTCATGGGAGCAGATCACCAGGTCTTTCTCCCGCAGAGCCGCTGGGTAGGTTCAACTACCAACCTTTCTGTTAGCAGCTGAGCACTTAACCCTTATGCCACCAGGACTCCTTCCTAGAAACATAAAGGAGTTTTATTTGCTTGTTTTCTTATATTTTTAAAAATATATTTAGAAAGGATAATTCATTCATTAGTCCAAAATTCAGACAGTTCAAATGATTACAGTGGAAAGTTCCCATCCCTATCTTCCAGCCACCGGTTTCCTTCTCCAGAGGCAAACAATGTAATAAGTTCTTAAATGCCCTTCCGGAGGTACTTTATACATATAAAGCAGAGAGTAGTGTACTCTATATACAGTGCTGTTTTTTGAAAAGCATTTCATAAGAGTGCAAAAGGAGCTTTTTTTAGGACTCTTTTTATGGTTTTTAGATACCATTTATGCATAGTAACTTATTTAACCAGTCTCCTAGTGAAGAACATTGAGATCCCAATCTTTTGTTATTACAACTGCTGTAGCGAATAAACTCGTACACACATATATGTAGGGTCTATTCCTAGAAGTAGGATATTTGGGTCAAAGGGTGTGGGAATCAGAACTTTGATATTGCTCAACTCTCCTCCATAAGTGCCTGTTTCTCCACATCCTCATCAACTGCGTTATCAATCTTTTTGATCTTTGCCATCTGATAGGTGAAAAATGGTATTTTGGGGGTAGTTTTAACCTGCAGTTTTTCTGAGTAGAGTGAACTTCTTGATACATTTAAGAGCCATTTATATTCCCTTTTTATGTCTATATCCCTTGCCCATTTTTCTGTTGGGTTGTCGGATCTTTTTCTTATTGATTCATGGAAACTCTATATAGGAAAATCAGTTCTTTGTCATATGAATTGCAAATATTTTTTCCCAGTGTGTTCTTTGACTTTGGCTAGAGTGGTTTTTACCATACAAAGACATTTGATATTTATGGAATCAAATTTATCTTTCCTTTTTTCAAATTTTATTTTGGGTTTTATGTTGTAGTTTGAAAGGCCTTCTTCACTCAGATTTAAAAAAAAAAATTCCCCATGCTTTATTGTTATTTTTAGGGTTTACTAAATTTTTTTTTAAATTTATTTTGTTGTTGAGAATATACACAGCAAAACATACACCACTTCAACAGTTTTCACGTGTACCATTTAGTGGCACTGATTACATTCTTCAAGTTGTACAGTCTTACTCTCCTTTTCTGAGTTGTTCCTCCCCCTTTAACATAAATTCACTGTAGAGCTTATTTTTATATTGTAATCTTTGAGCCGTTTGGAATTTAGTAAGGTGTGAGGACCATAACTTTCTTAAGAACTGGTATTAACCTTGGTTATCATATAGTCTGATCACCCCATTATACAGATGGGAAAGAGCCTCACAGAGGGGAAATACCTGTCTCCAAAATCTGCCCCTCCTCCTGAGTTCCCTAACTCAGGGAGTGGCACATCTATCCAGCAAGGTGCCAAAGCTGAGACCTTCCTTCACCCACCACATTTGGTCTGTTCTGTTGATTCTTCCTTCTAAACATTTAAGAACCCATCCCCTTCTCTCCATCCTCACGTACTAACCTGGTTTAGGCCTCATGTTATTCACACATTAAGGCTTTTGTGTGTGTGGCTCCCTCTGCTAGGAATATGGCTGGCTCCTTATTCAGGTCTCAGGACTTCCTTGTCCACATTATCTCAAATACTCCCCGTCATTATGATACCAAAATGCAAACCCATTGCCATCATTATGATAGCACCGTTTTTGCTTACACAGCACTTACCACAGTCTGCAATTGCCTTGTTTTATTCATTCACTGTCTTTCTCCTCCACTAGAATGTATCAGGGGCCATGTCTGTAGACTCCTGCTGTATCCCTAGCAACTGCAACAGTGCCTTTCACATAATGGGTGTTCAGAATGTTTATTGAATGAAAAAGCAAATGTTCTTTCATGTAGACAACTTCAGTGGCCTGATTCTCCCTTTTTTTTCATGCCTCCCCATGCGTTAGACTCAGGAAAATTTGAACTCTCTTCCAACTGACATGTCAAGAACAAAATTAGGGAGTCCTAAGAAGGGATGGGGAGCCCTGATGGCATAGTGGTTAATAGCTCAGTCTGCTAACCAAAAGGTTGGTGGTCTGAAGCCACCAGTCATTCCTTGGAAACCCTATGGGGCAGTTCTACTCTGTCCTATAGGGTTGCTGAGTCAGAATCGACTTGACAGCAATGGGTTCGGTATGGGTAAGAAGGGATGGAGCTCCAAGGCCAACTGTGGGGCCGACAGAATCAGGACTGACTGGTATGATGAACAGGCTGGGTCAGGGGAGCTGGCTTCTGGTGCCAGTTCTGTTGCATGCTAGCTGTGTGACCTTGAGCAACTCACTTCACCTGAGTTGCTTCCTCTTTTGTAAAGAGGTGATATTAAGATCTCTACGACATAGGGAAGTTGAAAAAAATCAAATGAGGATGCACATGAATGTGCTTGTACAATGCAAAGAACTGCTCGCATGGGGAAGGCTTTCTTCCCTTTCAGAAGGTGCCAGTATCTCCTTCCCACTTACCTTTAGGCCAGTCCCACTGTCCTCCCAGGAATTTTTCTGCCTTCAGAGGCAGGCAGATGCTGTGCCAGGAGAGAATGAGTCTCTCTTCTCCACCATTTCTAGCTGCTGCTGGCCTGGACCCAGTGCCCCACCCAGGGCACAGTGCCTGCTTAGGCGCCTGCCAGTAAGTGTGGGGGTGGGGTTGTTGCTGAGAGCTTCCAGGCACAGGGACAGCGATGCCTGGCACACACAGGTCAACGTGAGAACATTTTTCTTCTGGGCCTCAGTCTTCCCCTGAGGAAAGCGGGCTTAATTATCTCATCTCCCAAGACATAAGACCTTCATCAATATTGTGGCAGTGGCTGTAGGTAGTGGCAGGGTGGATGCTCTCAGAAAACAATGGAGAGCCAGAGACAGGAAGCCCCAGGGCTCCAGGTGCGCCCAAGCTTTGATTTAGGAGGTAATGCCTGTTTGTCCTCTTTTAGTCTCCTGGAGCCAAAGCTTCCTCCTTTTGCCATTTCAGAGAGATGTTTGCTTAGTGGGCCAGAAGAGCCTTCCCAACTCCACAGGGAGATTCTGCTTGAAAACTAAAAACAATCTCCTGCACTTGCGAAGTATGGAAGCCTTAACTCCACTTTAAGTCAGATTCTCTTTTAATATTGTTTTGTCTCAGTCTCCTTTCCTCTGCTGGCCTCCTAAATGCTGGTAATCCCTATGTTGGTCTTTGAAATTGGGGGATTTTACTTATCTGATATTCAGAAGCCTGGGACTTTCTGACTTAGCACTTTTTTTATTGCCTCCCTCCTCCAAGCTGTCACCCAGCCTACTGCCTGATGATTTTTCTAAAACACGGTTCTGATCTTCTGTCTCAAAAATTCTTTTTTCCCAACTGCCAGCAGGATAAAGTACAAATTACTTAGCTAGGAATCACAAACTGCCTCAATTTGCCTTTTCAGCTTCAGATCTCACTGCAATACAAGTTACATCATGGAATTTGTATCAACTAGGATTAAGTTCAGATAAATTCCAAATTATAGGGGTTTAAACAAGATAGAGGAGCCCTGGTGGTGCAGTGGTTAGGTCCTTGGCTGCTAACTGAAAGGTCATCAGTTAAAACCTACCAGCCGCTCCATGGGAGACAGATGTGGCAGTCTACTTCCATATTTACAGTCTTGGAAACCCTATGGGGCAGTTCTACTCTGTCCTATAGGGTCGCTGTGAGTCCGAATTGACCTGACGGTAACGAGGTTTTATGGGTAGCGTAATAACGGTTAAGTGCTCGGTTGCTAACTGAAAGGTTGGTGGTTCGAACCCACCCAGTGGCTCCGTGGGAGAAAGACCTGGCGATCTGCTCCCGTAAAGATTACAGCCTAGAAAACCCTATGGGGCACTTCTACTTTGTCACATGGGGTCGTGATGAGTTGGAATTGACTGGACAGCACCTAACAACAAAAACAAGATAAAAGCTTATTTCTCATGTAAAAGAAGTCCTGAGGCAGGCAGTCTAGGGTGTTGGCTTCTTTATTCTTGTTTCTCTCTCATCCTTAACAGGGGCGCCTTCCAGTACAAACTCTAGGAATTAATGTCTGCATTCCAGTGAGGAGGAAGGCAGAGGAAAGAAAAAGGCACAGGATGCATGCAAGCTATATTTTAAAGAGCTTCCTAAGAAACCGACACTGAACACTTCTGCTTACATGGCATAGGTCAGAACTTGTGAGCTGCGAGAGAGGCCGGGAAATGTAGTGTTTATTCCAGTCTGCCACGTGCCCACCTAAAAATCATAGGGTTCACTTCTGAAGGAGAGAATGCATATTTGGGGGAAATTAGCAGTTTCTGATATAAATATCATGCTTCTGTGACTTTGCTTAATATGGTCCCTTAGTCTGTAATGCTCCTCGCCCTTCCCTGCCTGAGGAAATGTAATCATCTTTTAAAGACCAACTCAAAAGTCACCTCCAGACCCTTACCAGTTGCCCTCAAGTTGATTCCAATTCATGGCAACCCCAAGTGTGTCAGGGTAGAAGCATGCTCCATATGGTTTTCAGTGGCTGATTTTTCGGAAGCAGATTGCCAGGCCTTTCTTCTGAGGTGCCTATGGTGGGACTAGAACTTTCAACTTTTCGGTTATCAGCCGAGCACGTTAACTATTTGCACCATCCAGGAACTTCTCCAGACCCCCAAGGGTACAATAAATAACTCCTTTCACTGTTCTCAGAAGCCCTTCCATGAGCTCTCTAACCACAATGTTATGAACCGTCCTCCTCCTCGTCTGAGTTCTTTCAGAGGGGCCTGCTCCCTCACATGGCCACAGGCTGATCATGCTCCCTCCTTCCCATCCTTGGATTCCCCACGAAGCACCTAATCTTAACGTTCACCCCTGTGGCCTTTGCGCAGCCTCCTCTCCCTCCCAGGCTCTTTCATATTAACCGTCTGTACAACTCATCTGTCCCACTAACCTAGAGGATGGGAGGGAAAGGGGTTAGAGGGGAAGTTGGGGCTGACCTTGAGCCCAGGTCCTTGAGATAGTGAATTTTACAGAGAGCACCTAGGCCGAAGATGGGTCCTTTTCTCCAGAGGACAAAGTTCCTCCCAAAGGCAAGATAATTATACTGGGCATCTGTGTACGCACTTGCATGCAGTTGAACGCAAGCATACTTTGGCCTTTGAAGAGCTTTTCCATGTCATTCTGCTGCTTAAAATCCTTCAGCGGCTTGCCACTGCTTCAGGGTAAGTCCTGACTTCATGGCTGTCTCTGATCTGACACCCCTCCCGCCCAACTCAGTTCTCACCTCTCCCATTACACTGGACTGTGTACAGTTCCCTGAAGGGCCAGGCTCTCAGCCTTCACACCTTCACACGTGCGGTTGGCCTGCCTTGGAACACGTTTTCCTCCTCAGCTTTCAAGATTTGCTATCACACTTTCTCTGGGAAGCCTTCCGTGACACCCTCAGGCAGAGCTGGGGGCCCTCTGCTGTGTCCTCATGGCCCTCTGAACACCCCTGTTATCTGTGGCTTCATTGTTAAATCATCTATCTTCCTCACTAGGCTAAGCAACTTGAGAGCTGGCACCACATTTTTCATTGGTATCCCCAGCTCTAGGTACACGAGGCACTCAGTAAATACTCCCTGAATGAGGCTTTTGAGTTATGTGCACGGAGGGCCAGGCAACAAGGGAGGACACCCCAAAGTCTCTGTTCTCTGCTTTGGGTACACAGATCACGAAGCAAACATGGAAAAGTCACATAATGGGAAAGTCTTCTCTGCCTGAGTAAATCCTTCTCATTCTTCAGAGCCCACTTCAAGCTTCACTTCAAGGAGGCTTTCCCTGACCCCAGGGCGACCTTAGTTATGCTCTCATAGCACCTCACACCCGTCTTCTTTACAGCACTAACCACTGTGGTCATTACTGTGGGCCTACTTGTTTAGTGCTGGGTTTCTCAAAAGCGGTACTATGAACATTTTAGGCCCAGTAATTCTTTGTTGGGGAGGGGTGCTGTTCTGTGCATGGCAGGATGTTGAACAGCATCCCTGACCTCTACCCACTAGATGCTAATAGCACCCCTTCAGTTATGACAACCACAAACGTCTCCAGACATTGACATATGTCCCCTAGGGGTAAGACTGCCTCTGGTTGAGAACCACTGGTGTGAGAAAGGAAGCTGCATGAAGGTGGTCCAGCCACCTGAGACCCTGCTTCCTTGGTTTCTGGGGTTTTGATGGCTGCATCCTGACATTTTTGCAGCCGGTTCCCCTCCCTGCCCAAGACTGAGCTGCACACCACCTGGGAAGTTGAGTCAAACCTTCCTTTTCGTAAGATGCTTTTCTGTGGACCTGGACAGCTTGAGGGCAGAGATCATTGTGTCTCACTGGCTTTTGTACCTGCCCAGGCCCTGCTTTCAGGTGGTCTGGAAATAATTACAGGGGGAACAAATGAAGGGAGAGCAAGGAGGTAGCCTGTTAGGGCTGTGAGATGGCAGGTGCACAGCGATCCTTCCTGACAGGGAGGATGCTACTGCTGCTGCTTTTTTTTTTTAGGAAGTTCAGACTTTATTAGGTACGCTGAGGCTGGCCTGGGGAAAGGCCTGGTTGGTTTTGCAGTCCTCCTAGTAGGCAGTGACAATGAGGAGAGGCGTGTCCAGGGGAAGGCTAGGGGCACTGACTGAGAGGCCTGAAACCTGTCCTGCTGATTGTCTCCCCTCCCACTGCACTCTGGCTCTTCCGGGATCATCACAAGGTAAGAATCTGCTTTGAAGACACGAAGGGCTTCATGGAAGCTTCCAAGACACGCTGGTAGTCCTGCAGTGGGACCTCGGAGCAGGCAGGGGCTGTCAGCTGGCCTTGGCGGATGAAGTTGCACAGTATGAGGATCAGCTCCCTGAACTGGTCTGTGGGAGGTTGGAGAAGTCAGACAGGGGAACAAGAGCTGGGGCTCAGGAGATGGCATCGGGCTGCCCTGGGGGCAGAAGCTGGGGCAGAGGCTCCAGTAAAGCCCCAAGAGCCCTGGTTTTGCCAGGTACAGGGGTGTGTGGAGGCAACCAGGGTGGGGACAGGAAAACATGGGAATAGCCCCAGGAGCTGCTGGGCAGGCAGAGACTGCCCTTTAGAGTGGTGGCTGAGATGGCTCAGACCCACAGAACTTGACGGGTGTAACTGGGAGTCCTGATGATGGGAGGGGCAGGATTACTGGGAAGCAGGGACAGCAGAAGAGGCACAGGCAGGGGGTGAGTGTGCCCGGCACACTGACTGATGTAGAACAAATGAGCTTTGCCCAGGGAAAGGGTCCCTCCCTGAGAGTCCCGGACTCCCTTATAAGCCCACAAGTTGAGGCCACCAACATCTCCTCCTCAGGTCTGCCTAAGGACCCAATATGGTATAGGAAAATGAGAAGTGAAGGCCTTGGTGAAGTGTTTTTTTTACAGACACACATTCATTCAACATTCAAATCTAATCATACCAATCACCCTCTGCTTAAAATCCTTCAGCAGCACCCCAACTGCTTTTAAGCTAGAGTCTGAACTGCTTAAAAAGTTTTATAAGGACTTTTGTGATCTGGTCATGACCCAGCTGTCCAGTATCCCATCCCCTGCTCAGATGTAATGCTCCAGTTCCTCAGAACCACTTTCAGTGCCCTGGTGGGTCATACTCACTCTCTGACAGACTTTTCCATGTGCTACTTTTTCTGCCTGAAACACTCCATCCATGTCACCACTTTCCTCTCCTTCACTTGGATAACTCCAGGCCATTATTCAGTCTCAGCTTGGGGGTCACATTGTGGGGAGCCAGCCCTCCAGGGGTGGAAGAACTGTGTACTGGCTCAGGTTCTGGAGCCAGAGACTGGCTGTTCACATCCTGGCCGCACCACTCCCTAGCTGGGGGTGATATTGGGCAAGCTACTTAACCACTCAGACCCTCAGTTTCCTCCTCTGTCAAACAGGGCTAATAATAGTTTAAACTATTATGACATTTAAACTGAGGCAGAAGTTAAGTAACTTGCCCAAGATCCCACAGATAGGCTAGGCAGAGCCTATTACAAGGAATGATGGAAGCAGGCTTTGAACCCAGGGAGGCTGGCTCCAGAGATTTTCTCTTTACTTGGCTGTCTTACATGGCAGCCTTTCCCACTGTTAGCTCCTCAGGATGGGGGCGGGGTCTGTCTTGTTCAGCACTGTGCCCCCAAGAACTAGCCCAATTTAGTCCGATAACTATTTGCTGAAGGAAGCTGTGGCCAGAGGCTATTTTCCTCCATCCTGCTATGGGGTTGGGGTCTTAATCACCTCTTCAGGGCTCAGAGTGGCTGGTCACTTCTGCAGCCATTCTTAGGCACTGCACTCTCCTGTGACCCTTGGCACTGAGGCCCTCATCCACTCACCTGGGCTGTGGTCCTTTTTCCACTGGGACAACCAGAAGCCCCGAAGTTTGAGATCCTTAAAAATGAGCAGACTCTGTGGACACAGGAAGGGCATGCTAGGTCTTGGACGACAAGAACTTCAGGTACTGATGACGGGTACAGATCCCACCCAACCTCAGGGACAGGGACAGTGCCTGAGTTTAGACAACTGTGGTGTCAGGGGAAGAGGCCTGGCTGAAGTGCCCAGACCTGTCTCCAGGTGTGCCTCCCCCACCAGCTTACCACAGGGGCTATGACAGGCTGCTTGGCCATCCCACCGTATGTCACCATGGTTCCTCCAGGCCTGAAGAGTCCAGAGAGAACAAAGAGTAGGTGCAGGCAGAGACAGAGCCCTTCTGGAACCTGCCACAACACTTATACAACAACCCTCGTTGCTAAACCTTGCTCTCAGAATCCCTGGGAAGGTTTTTAAAAAAACAGAGAGTTCTAGGTATGACCCCAGACCTAATGAATCAGGAGGCAAGAATCTATATTCATTAAAGATGACAAACAAACAGTCAAACCCCCACCCCCACCCCAGATGAGTTGGATGTTTAGCCAGATTTGGGAGTCCACTGATCTAACCTACCCAGTCAGGCTTTGATGAAGTGCTGCAAAGAAGTGCGCCGTGTTCAGAAAAGTTCAAGACTCACGTTCAGTCCTGGCCCTCCTCCCACTTAGAGGTATGTGACGTTGGGCAATGCATTGAATATGGCCCAGGCCTTCATCTGGTCATCTGTAAATGCTTATTCTAAGTATCAGGATGGACAGGTCACTACACAGATAAGGAAACAGTGTGGATGGGGTGAAGGACAATGGCAACTGTCCTCTCATTGCAAGAGATTCCTTGTCAGTACCTGGTATGACACCTACACACCCACCTCGGCAGTCAAACAGGAGAGGTGCTAATACTGTACAGTTTTTAAAAGCTTGATAAGCTAAGACTTGACATGCTGACTTTACTTATGTTCCCCTCCCTATCTTCTGTCTCTTCTAGGGGTTTGTTTGGGACAACACAAGAGAGACTTTGTAAACTACAGAATGGAAAGCAGCTGCTGTGTGAGGCAGGTAAGGGTAACTCTTTGTGCCTAAGGCTGGTGGGTAGTTTGGACTTAAGGTCCCTCTCAACTGCCACTTGCTCTAGAAAGTAGCTCCTGGGGAAGCAAGGCCGCAAGGCCTCTCTCCTCTGCGGTCCCCACTGCACTTGGTCTAATCAGAATATTCACCACCACCATCAGCTGCTGTCAAGTCAATTCTGACTCATGGCAACTCCAAGTGTGTCAGAGTAGAACTGTGCTCGATAGGGTTTCAATGGCTGATTTTTTGTGAGTAGATCACCAACCTTTCTACTGAGGCACCTATGAATGGACTCAAATCTCCAACCTTTGCTAACGTTGATTGGGTGTTTACTACGAGCTAAGCACAGCTCTAAGCACTTCACATGTATTGTCTCAGTGAAACCTCATAGTAATACCAAGGAAGCAAAATTATTATTCTCATTTTACTGACGAGAAACCTGAGGTCCATCCCTCACTTGTATAGGTGTGTGTGCATCACTTCAGTGAGCCCTAAACTAACTTCCTGAGAAGAAAGGGCTTATTTCACTCCAATTTTACAAATGAGGAGTGAGGCCTGGACCGTTTTTCATGTATTGCCTAACTTTTCATAGGTTCTCAGCTAGTAAGCAGCATAGCTGGGACTTGAACTCAGCCAGTCTGACTCCCATGCCTACACGTGTAACCACCAAACGATGCTGCTTCCTACACTGACAGCTTTGGAGGCTGTCACTGGAGGATGTGAAGACGTGTGCTCTACAGTCACATGAACTTGGGGTCCACCCAGAAGCTCTGCTTCCTAGCTGCAGGACCTTGGGCAAGGAAATCACTTTCTCTGGGTCTTGTTTTCTTTACGTGTAAAATAGGGATTGGAATTGTCATGGATTGAATTATGTCCCCCCCAAAAATGTGTGTATCTATTTGGCTGGGCCATGATTCCTAGTATTGTATGGTTGTCCTCCATTTTGTGATTGTAATTTTATGTTAAAGAGAATTAAGGTGGGATTGTAACACCCTTACTAAGGTTACATCCCTGATCCAATGTAAAGGGAGTTTCCCTGGTGTGTGGCCTGCACCACCTTTTATCTTATAAGAGATAAAAGGAAAGGGAAGCAAGCACAGAGTTGGGGACCTCATACCACCAAGAAAGCAGTGCCGGGAGCACAGGGCATCCTTTGGACCCGGGATCTCTGTGTGGAGAAGCTCCTAGTCTGGGAGAAGATTGATAAGAAGGCTGACAGGGAGAGAAAGCCTTCCCCTGGAGCTGATGCCCTGAATTTGGACTTTTAGCCTAGTGAAGAAATAAATTTTTCTTTGTTAAAGCCATCCACTTGTGGTATTTCTGTTATAGCAGCACTAGATGGCTATGACAGGAATAGCACCTTCATCTAGGTGCTTGAGGGAGGGTAAGCCAAGCACTCTGCACAGAGTCTGGTGCGCGGTAATTGCTCAGTGACTATTATCACAGATCTCTGGTCACATGTTCCCATCTGTCCTGTGAGTTCTCAGAGGGTTATATATTGAGGGAACTCCTGCTTTAGTTCATGTAGTAGATTGAATTATGTGCCCCCAAAAGATATGTCCAAGTTCTAATCCTCATTACCTGTGAATGATTTATTTGGAAATAGGTTTTTTGCAAATATAATTAAGTTAAGGATCTTGAGATGAGATCATCCTGGATTTAGGGTGGGCCTAAAGGACTGGTGTCCTTATAAGAGAAAGGAGAGGGAGATTTGAGACACAGAGAAGAAGGCCTTGTAAAGATGGAGGCAGAGATTGGAGTGATGCACCTACAAGTCAAGGAACACCATGGATCACTTCGCAGACACCAGAAACTAGGAGAGAGGCATGGAACAGACTCTCCCTCAGAGCTTCCAGAAGGAACCAACCCTGCCAACGCCTTGATTTTAGACTGCGGGCATTGAGAACTGTGAAAGAATTTGTTGTTTTACGCCATCAAGTTTACGGTGGTTTTTTATGGCAGCCCTAGGAAACGAAAAGGGGAAAAAAGATGGGAAGGACATGCAACACATTGTGTGGTGGAATAATAGGTAACTTCTGTACCTTAATTTCTTGTTTGTACATTTATATGCTTTCAAAATGTTTTGTAATACACATAGTATTCCCTCTAAAATTAGAATTTCATTTTTTAAAGCTAATACAAATTTTTAAAAGCTAATAAGCTAGAACTAAGTGACTTTTTAGGAGTCCTGGTGGCACAGTGGTTAACAGCTCGGCTGCTAGCGAGAAGGTCAGCAGTTAAAATCCACCAGGTGCTCCTTGGAAACCCTATGGGGCAGTTCTACTCTGTCCTATAGGGTCGTTATGAGACAGATTCAACTCAATGGCAATGGGTTTTTTGCTAGTGACTTTTTAAGGTGCCCCAGGTTATGAATTCTTGACCATCTCCGTCTCACAGACGGTTTAGTAGTCTGCTTTCTGGGCTCCCTTGGAGAAATAACGCCCAACGGGCCTCTTGGTCATTTACAAAGGAGGAGGTTGAAAAACGAAGTGCCCAGATAACTAGGAGATGACTTTGGTCCTAGTTTCCTACTCAGCATCGTGCTGACCTGGCCTTGGCTCACACTGGCCATTGGGACTTGGTCACTTGATGGTCCTCCCAGTTACAGGCCTGGAGAGCTCCGATGAAGTAGACTTGCAGGGCTAAGGGACTTACGCTAATTGCCGCAGCAGCTCTGTGGAGCTTTTCCCACCGACACAGTTGAGAGCAAGCCGTGGCTGGGGAATGGCCTGCAAAATAAGAAACCCACAGTAAAGGAGCTACCATTCTCCATGTGGGGAAGCCTGCTACAACCACACTTCCCTGGCCCAAGTGCTGTGTTAAAAAGAGGGAGGGAAGAAAACAGGATGTTCATGCCTTTGAATTCTTTTTTCTCTGACCAGGAAGGGTCTTCTTTTGCCAACTTAATCTTGTTGTCCATTTCAGGACTTGGTTCAGAACTCATTTTCCCAGGTGTTACGGATTGAATTGTGTCCGCCAAAAACGTGTGCCAACTTGGCTAGGCCATGATTCCCAGTATTGTGTGACTGTCCACCATTTTGTCATCTGATGTGCTTGTCCTATGTGTTGTAAATCCTACCTCTATGATGTTAATGAGGCAGGATTAGAAGCAGTTATGTTAAGGAGGCAGGACTCAATCTACAAGATAAGGTTATATCTTGAGTCAATCTCTTTTGAGATATAAAAGAGAGAAGTGAGCAGAGAGACAGGGGGACTTCCTACCACCAAGACAGCAGAGCTGGGAGCGGTGCATGTTGTTTGGACCTGGGGTCCCTGCACTGAGATACTCCTAGACCAGGGGAAGATTGATGACAAGGACCTCCCCTGAGAACTGACAGAGAGAGAAAGCCTTCCCCTGGAGCTGGCAGGCTGAATTCAGGCGTCTAGCCTGCTAGATTGTGAGAGAATGAATTTCTGTTTGTTAAAGCCATCCACTTGTGGTATTTCTGTTATAGCAGCCCTAGATAACTAAGACACCAGGAAAATAGACAAAGGGCATCTACATTTGGTTTTGACTGACTTCATCTCCCTGAGCGCTCCTCTTCTCAGTACTTATGATTCAGTTGATATTAGATGTGCTTATCTACTGCTTCAGAAATGTTGTCAAGAGGTATGTGTTCTCCAGTGAATATGTGTGAGTTTGGTCTCCCCAGATGGTTCAGTGAAAAGAGACCTAGATGGAGGTACCTCCCAAGTTTGTTCACTTACTAGGCATGTGCTGGGTGGTGGATGTTCTGGAATGTTAACTGGATTTGGTTTCAGAGACCTTGACCCAGACCTGCCTCCACCACTTACTAAGGTCTTGGTAAAGTTCTTTATCTATGAGTTTTGGTTTCCTTATATATAAAATAGATAATGCCTACTTTATAGAACTACTGTGGGGCTTACTGGATGAAATGTAAGGTAGGTGCTTAGGAAATGTTACTTCTTTTCTTTCTCTTCCCTCTGTGCCTCAGTTTCCTGAGGCCCTCTCCCAGCTCTGATTCACGCCAGCTGTGTGGACTGACAGGGCCCACCATAAATATTCAAAACTGCAAAATCACACAGGGTCTCCTGAACTTTTTCTGTGTCTCCTGCCTCCCTCATTGCATCACCACTGGGCATTTAATGCAAGCTGTCCCCTGACTAAGGGGAATGGGCTTCCTCCTTCTAAAAAGAGGCAAGGGGAGATTCCTGGAGGGGAACAACAGGGCCAGTCCCCGGCTTTTCTAATTCAAATGGAGGTAAGCAGGAAAAAGAGAGGCAATGTCTCTCATCCCAGGTACCTTAAAGATGTTTTTCATCTCAGGCTTTCTTAGTCCCTCCTCTGTGATGACATGCTCAGCTCCCAGATTCTTTAGTCTGTCGGTCAGCTTCTGGATGTCAGGTCTGGAAACCAAACACAATCCAAGATCCTTTGTCACACCTGCTCGTTTTCTCCACTGAAGGCTCCTAGAACCTGTTGGCCCGAGTTTCTCTTTGCTGGAAGCTGGAATTAGGTTTGAGCCAGGCCTTGGGCAGGGGCTGCCCACCTAATTTCATCATATTCCAACATCTCTCGGCCTCAGTTTCCTCACTGGTAGGAGAAGCTAGGCTGGGTGATTTCTATAGCCCCTGCCAGCCCAAGGATGCTAGAAACCATCTGTGCCCAGGGAGAAGGCATTTCATTTCCTGATTTCTTCTACTGAGGTGACAAACTCTGCTTCCTTTTTCCACCTCTCTTTTCAAGGGGCTCTTCAGAGTGTTGTGCATACACACTCCAGCCTGCGAGTGGCTCTAGGCAAACAGAGTAATTTTTGTTAGCACAACTGCAAGGATTGGGGGAACTGAAACAGGTATCGATTTCCCCACTGAGGCAGGACTTCATGACAAACAAGGCCACATTTGGGGACAGTGAAGATTAAGGGAACTGGATGATACGCTGGGAAGAGAACAAGACAGGAAACTCAGTCTGTTACTTGCTGTGTCTCCCTGAGCAGGTGCTCCCCCTCCCTGAAGCTTCAGTTTCCTCATCTGTAAAACTGAGAGGACAAACCTGCCCCATCTCCTTCACATCTACATCTAGTACACCTCAAAATACCACACAAATGCAGGGGAAAAAAGGGCCTCGGAGTAGACGATTCACAGAAAGAGCAATACAGCATAAAACATTCCCCAGTATGAACTGTGGTTTTGAAAACATGGGGTTTTGGTTGTTCAGTAAGGGCAGTCTCCACCTCCTACCTGCCCGCCCTTTACATTTCAAAGATTCACTCATCCTATAGCCAAAGGCCACCTGGACTGCATTTCTGGTGGCTGACTCATCTGTTTCAGCTGCCAAGTGTTAGCCAACAGCTTCCTACCCATAAAGGTGGGCTGCTTGTGCAAGGGTGCCATCTGGTGGAGATGTGGACACCTGCAGGGCTGTAACTGGAAGTGGAAGTCAAAGGATTTGTACTTTTCACGCTTGCCAGGTGGTTTGGTTTGGGTTAGGTGATCTGGAATAAGGCCTCCCCACGCACCTGTCTCTGACCACATTGATGGTCCTCAGGCCCAGCGCTGTGGCGATCTGGATGACGGCTTGCCCCACTCCACTGTTGGATGCATTCTGGATGACACAGTCTCCTGTGGAACCAGGAAGACACCCAAGTCAAGCTCTGTAGGTCAAGGGCTCCCAGCCTGGGATCCTATTGCAGGGCAAGAGTTAGAATCTGCAGGCTCAAAAGGGACCCAGGACCTGGCTGCTGAGCCTTTTAAGACCTTGGACTGTCGCTCACTTTCCCCCCAGTGCCCCCAAACTTCCACAACACCTGCGATGCCTGCCAGGACTTGGCAACTCAGTCCATACTTGACATAATTTAGACCCTGTTGTACAAATGATTAGGAGCCCTGGTGGCACAGTGGTTAAAGTGCTCAGCTGCCAACTGAAAGACTGGCAGTTCGAACCCACCAGCTGCTTCACAGGAGAAAGATGGGACAGTTCTACTCTGACCTATAGGGTTGCTGTGAGTCAGAATTGACTTCACGGCAATGGGTTTTTGATTTGGTACAAGTGATTTTATATCCATCCTCCTCTCAACTTCTATGCCAAGTCTCTGCTTAGGTTATTTCCTTGGTTTGCAATGTTTTCCTCCCCCTCTCCCTTCCTCTTGAAATCCTACGATAACTTGGAAACAGCTCAAGTGCAGCTTCCTTCATCAAGCCTTCCTGGGTTCTCCCCTCTGTGTGCTCCCACAGCACCCTGGATGCACCTCTATGAATGCACACACCTTCGCCTACCCCGTCTTATACTTGGTTGTATATAGGTGCATTTCTATCAATAGCTTGCAGCTTCTTGAGGGGAAGGGCCATGTCTTATTCTCCTCTGCACCACTTAACAAAGTACACTGCCTTGAAATGAGATTAGAACAGTACTGGTGAAACTGGTAGCCCTGGAAATAGGGTCCAACAGACAGTTTGTGGTCAAACCCCAGGCCTAGCTTTGGAATTAGCCAATGGATAGTGTAGCATGTTGGGAAGAATGTGGGCTGTGGAACGATATGGACCTGGGTGTGAGTCCCAGCTTCACCACTTACTGTAACTGAATGACACGGGGCAAGTCATGACTTCTTTGAATGTCAGTTTCCTCCCCATAAAACGGGAGTCCAGGGAGCACCAGCCAGGGCTACAATTAGGGTCAAATGCCATTGTGTCCAGGAAATGCTTTGTAAAACCTGAAATGCTATTTTTGAGAGGGAGCAGGGAGCTGGTGCACAGTGGACTGGAACTAGAGATAGAGGACTTCCTGGAAGGAGAAACTCCATTCTTCTTAGCCAGGGGACAGCATGTAGATTGTAACCCATTAGTGGGTTATGAAATCAATCTAGCGGGTTACAAACAGCATTCTTTTTTTTTTAAATAAAATCAAGGAGAACAGAATAAAAAAAACAGCAGAGTGCATTATACATAAACCTGCTGCCGTTGAGTCGATTCCGTCTCATAGCGACTCTATAGGACAGAGTAGAACTGCCCCATAGGGCTTCCAAGGAGTGGCTGGTGGATTCAAACCGTCAGCCTTTTGGTTAGCAGTCAAGCTCTTAACCACTGTGCCACCAGGGCTTCTGCATTATACACAATAAGAGTAAATATTGTTCCTTTAAATTTTGGTTTCATTCATATATACACACTGAGTTGCAGTGTAAAATGTAGGTCTTACTATAGATCAAAATCATAAGTTTGTTTAACACTGATCTAGCCTCTGTCACATCAGCTACGAGGCAGAAAATTGGAGAGATGTCCAGTGGGCACTTGAGATGGGGTGTTGTCAGCATGCTCAGATCTATCCACCACAGCTGCAGCTGAAATCAGACGTGCCTGGGGGGATGTGACACAGGTGACAAAGTGTCTGCTGCACTAGGACTTGAGCAAAGGTCCTTGGTCACACCTACTCCACTGAAGGCTCTTAGGATCCCTCTGCCAAGCTTTGAGCAGGGGCCAACCACCTAAGTCCACTGTGCTCCAACATCTCTTGGCCTCAGTTTCCTCACTGGTATAAGAACTAGACTGGGTAATTTCTACAACCCCCCTGCCAGCTCAGGGATATGTGTTGTGTGCAAGGGGTGACCCCAGGGGACAGCTGATGGCCCTTGGGGCAACGCTGAAACCATGGGGGATGGCAGTGGGTGGATAACTGGCCCAGCCTCCTGTTCTTTGTAGGTTAATGCTGAGGCGGGTTCTGTGAGGTTCTTTAGAGGGTCCCAGTGGGACTGAGCCGTGGTTGCCCACGGTGGTAACTACCTTCATTGGCTTTTCCTCCTTCCCTGTTTCACTCTCTCTATTCCCTCACTCCTGCTTCCTGACATCATCTCCCAAATGAACCATCTGCCCCCAGTCCTTGTCTTAGGCTCTGCCTGCAGGGGAACCCCAAATAAAACACTCATTTACTTGCGGGTGATCTCACGCAAATAACTTACCTCTTGGAACCAGTTTCCTCACTTATAAAAAGGAAGAATAATGAAAGCAGCTGAGAGTACTGCACTGTATGCCAGGCACTGTGCTAAGTGTTACATCGCAATGTTTTGCAATGTTTCAGTTAATCCTCAGCACTCCTGATTCTCCATTTCACGGATGAAAAATCTGATGATTTGAGAGGTCAAGTCACACAACCAGGGAAAGGTGGAGCTTGAATTCAGAACTAGGTGGTCTGCCTGGTGGTCTAGCTGGAGCTCTTAGCCAATGACAACGACACCAACTTCACTGCACTGCTTTGAAGGTTTAATACATTCAGTTGGGGTAATGCATGTAAAGGTACTCATGTAAACTGCAAATGCTATAAATGCCGAATGGAATTAACAATACCAACTTCAGCACTTTATTCCAAACACAGAGACTGCTGTCTATTCCCTGCTTTAGATCCCTGGAGCTTAGCACAGCTGAATGCATTTTTGCTGAATGAAAGAATTCCATCCCAATCTCTAGGGAATGTAATCCTTTGCAGTTTTAAAGAGTGTATTCCTCATGAGGTTTCAGTATGTTTTTCCAGGAATCAAGCTCCATCTTTCTAAATAAAAGCAGCAACAGCACACTCAGTTAGGTTAGGGGCCTGTCTTCCTCTCAGCCCCCTCACGGGGAAGTTCCCATGGCGGCAGGGTCAGGTTTTGGCCACACTCCAGTAGGGAGAGGCTGCCGGGCCCTACCTGGCTGCAGCTGCTCAAAGTCCATCAACATCCTGTAGGCCGTGCAGGGATTGACACCCAGGGTGGCAGCACACTGAAGAGGAATGTCACTTGGAACTCCGATCAGTTCTTCTTCACTGAATACAGCCTCGGTCCGCCAGGTTCCTGCATCAGGGAAGAGCCCAGAGTAGGGAGGAAGGACCCCTGTTCACCCCCATCCCCAGTTCACCCTCCTCAGGATGGCAGACTTCAAATAATACTTAGAGAAAAAAAGAAAATCTTGAAGTCTCTTTCAATACCTTTGAGTCCTTGTGACAATCACGTAAGGTCAACTTTGTTATTCCCACTTTACAAATGTGGTAGCAGAGGTTCAGAGAGGTTACCTGATTTATCTAATGTCATAGAGCAGATCTCGAGCAGTACTGGACTCTGAGGGGAGGACAGTAAGCTCATCACCAGGGCAAGAGAAGCTGAGAAAGCCCCTGCTTTCCTATTCAGGCCTCATTCATCTCATCTAGATGTGTGTGTGTATATGGTTTTATGGAAAAGAGCATGCAAGTAGAAGTCCAGAGGCCTAGGTTTGAGACCTGGCTTTGCTACTCTGCTATGTTGAACAAATTCCAAAATCATATGCAGTCTCGGTTACATTAATATGTAAACAACAATGGCGGTAGCAGCCTGAGTGGCCTCCTCCAACAGCATTGTGCTAATGAATAAGGGAAGTGAAAAAATCATGTCAACTGGAAAGAAACAATCAATGACCTCCATCCCACATTCCAGTGCCAGACAACAGAACTACAGAATGTCAGCACTCAGAGGGCCCTCAGAGTATCACATTTAAACTCCTCATTCAATAGGCCAGGAAACTGAGGAAGTGACTCGCCCAGAGCCATCTGGCTAATCTGGGCAGAGCTGGAGCTAGAACCCAGGTCTCTGGGCCTCCCTTCCATCTACAGATATTTATTCTGCACCTGCTCTGAGCTAGGCACTCTGCTAGGTGTTGGGATTTGACAGCTGAACAACACAGACAGGTTCCTTGCTTTCACAGAATTTTCGTTCTAGTGGGGTAGGTGAAAAGCAAACACACAAAATAAATATAAATAGAGATAGAGGGCAATACAGTGGAGAGAATTACTTTAGAGGGGAGCCAAGAAAGGTTCTTGGAGGGGGTGACATTAAGCTGAGAGTGAAGGATAGAGACACTAGCTACTCAAAGAGGAAACGAACGTTCTAGGCATAGAGAAAAGACTCTGAGGCAGGAAAGATCTAAGAACAGAACTGGAAGAATACACACTGGTGGGCTGACAGTGATGGGAAGAGGGACTTGAGATGTGGCTGATGTGGCATGGGCTAGATTAGTGTTACGCAAACTTTCATAATCTTGACCCATAGTAGGAATTTCATTTTACATTGTAACTGTGTGTGTGTGGGTACATATGAAACAAAAGTTTCACAGAACAATGTTTACCCTTACTATGTGTGATGTACTATATTTTTTATTCTATCCTGCTTGATTTCAGTTAAAAAAAAAAAAAGTGCTGCTTGCAAACCACTAGATTGACTTTACTAATGGGTGACAACCTGCAGTCTGAAAACCACGCAGCTCATGCAGGGCCTGACAGGTCCTGGTATGGAGAGTGGATTTTATTTTGTGAATGGAAGCCTCTAACGGGCTTTAAGAGGAAGACTGAGATGACTGGATTTATGCTTTACAATCACTTTGTTGCTGTGTGGAAAAGGTGTGGGGTGCGGGGGCAGAGTGGAAGTGGGGAGACCAAGAGGAGGCTTTTGGAGGGGTTGAGATGCAAGCTGATGGTGGCCTAGAACAAGACTTTGGTAGTAGGGATGAAGAGAGTAGATGGATCCAAGTTATATTTTGGAGAGAAAAACAATAGGACTTGATGAGGATTGGGTGAGAGGTGACAGGTCCTCACTCATGCCAGTGGGAACTAGTATAAAGTGCAGGTGAAGAGGAGAGCCCTTAGCATCAGACACATGCGGATTCAAGTCTTGCTCTACCACTTACTCCTATATCATCTTAGTGAAGTAGCTTGGAGCTTTGTTGGCTCAAAGTGTCAGGTGACTGTGATGTCTTAGGGGCCCTAGGCCTATCCTACCAAAGCTCTTGAGTGCATCCACTCGCTATCCAGCTGCTGGGGTTCTAACAGTGCCCGGTCCTACATGGTCAGCTGTGGGAAGCAGGGGCAGCCCAGATGATTACTAATTGCCCTGCAGGAGGGGGAAATGACATGGGCTTTAGGGACCGGGAACTGGGGAGGGGAGGCAGGAATGATATTTATTAAAGGTGTTTCAATCCCAAAGTAGGCCTGTGGCTGAGAAAACAATACTGAGACGCTGAATGGGGGGCCATTTGAACCATTCCTCTTGGATCTAGGAGGTGCCTTTTGCATTCTCTGGGCTTCATCCAGCCCAGGCTGGTTTTCAAATCTTCGATGTCAGCTGCCCAGGCTAACATTTACTGCACTCTGTACTCTGTGCCAGACATTTTGTATGGGGCTTTCTATGCATAAACTTAAGGGTGTTTTCTAGTTACCCTTAATGGCATGACCATGGAAATCCAGCCATTGACATGCATTTCTGGGGTTTAGCAGTCCCTAATCCTTGTGAACTGATGCCTTTGAATTATAGTGTTGGCGAAGAATGTTGAATATACCATGGACTTCCAGAAGAATGAATAAATCTGTCTTGGAAGAAGTATAGCCAGAATATTCCTTAGAAGCGAGGATGGCGAGACTTCGTCTCACGTCCTTTGGACATGTTATCAGGAGGGACTAGTCCCTGGAGAAGGACATCGTGCTGGTAAAGTAGAGGGTCAGTGAAAAAGAGGAAGACCTCAAGGAGACAGACTGACAGAGTGGCTGTAACAATGGGGTCAAGCATAAAACGATTGTGAAGATAGCAGTGTTTCATTCTGTTGTATGCTATGAGTCGGAATAGACTCAACGACACCTAATAACAACAACAACAATCCTTTTCCCAAAAGAGCCTGGGTGGGATGAGGACAGTGCCCATAGTCAGCTCCAAGGGGTTGTGGGGTTTTAAAGTGGAAACCCTTAGACTATGGAGTGGGAGAGATCAGCTTAAAAAACCCTGCTCTGTCACACACTAGTTGTGTGATCTCGAATTATTACTTCACCTTTTTTGGGTTTCAGTTTCCTGCTCTATAAAATGAAGATAGTAACACCTTTGTCATAGTGTAAAGATGAAATGACATGGCATTTGTACAGAGATTATCACTGTGCTTGGCACATAGCAGGTGTGTAACATTTTGGTTTCCTTTCCTGATCCTGGTCCCATGCTCTAGCTATGAGGACTCCCATTCTCCACTCATGCGCAACTGACCCTTAACCATCTCTACCATGTAACACAGGGGTTAGCAAATCTGGCCCACCACCTGTTTTTGTAAATCAAGTTTTATTGGAACACAGCCATGCTTACTTGTTTGCATATTGTCTATGACTGTTTACAACAGCAGAGCTGAGTAGTTACAACAAAGAAGATACGGCCTGCAAAGCCTAAAATATTTACTATCTAGCCCTTTAAGATATAAGTTTGGCACCTAGAAACCTCATAAATTAAATCTGTAACAAACCAGTTGCCATCAAGTTGATTTCAACTCATTGCTACCCTGTGTGTGTTAGAGTAGAACTGCTCCATAGGTTTTTCAATGGCTAATTTTTCAGAAGTAGATCATCAGGCCTTTCTTCTGAGGTGGCTCTGGGTAGATTCGAACCACCAACCTTTTGGTTAGTAGCGCAGCGCTCCACCATTTGCATCACCCAGGGACTCCAAATCTGTAACAGGGTACATCCTAATGCTGCAAAGAAGTACCTGGGGAATCGCTTTGCAGGCTCAGATTTCGCCATGCTTTGTCTGCCTATTGTGATTGTCAGTTCTTAGCATTATTAGGACAATTTGATATTGAGTAAGATCTCTGATTCCTGTGAGTCTGATTGGACAACCATTCCTTTGTATTATCTCAGTAGATGGCTCTAACTATATGTTCCAGACGCTGTCTTAAGCACCTTTAAATGTGTAACAAATGGTTTTTAAGACAGATAATAATAGTAAAAATCCAGGAGAGTTAAAAGGAAATCACTTGTGTGGCTACCTCCTATTCAAAGAAATACACGTGTAGTAGGCACCTGTTGTGAAGGGGTCAGACTAATAAAAACAAGCTTTTATATTACCCAGCAATTCCACTCCTGGGAATTTCAGGTCAAAAAACCTGAAAGCAGGGATTCAGATACTTTTGCACCAATGTTCACTGCAGCAATATTCGCGATAGCCACAAGGTGGAAATCACCGAAGTGTCCATCAACAAGTGAATGGATAAACAAATGTAGTACATACATACAATGGAATACGATTCAGCCATAAAAAGGAATGAAGCTCTACTACCTGCTACAACATGCATGAACCTTAAAAACATTATGTTGAGTGAAATAAGTCTGACACAAAAAGACAAATATTATAAATGATCCCATTTAAAAGAAATATCTAGAATAGGCAAATGCAGAGACAGAAAGTAGATTGTAGTTAGCGTGGGCTGGGGGTAGAGAGGAATGGGGAGTTACTGTTTAATGGATACAGAGTTTCTGTTTGGTCTGATGAAATAGTTTTGGAGACAAATGGTGGTGATGGCTGCAAAAAATTGTGAATATGATTGATGCTACTGAACTGTACACTTGAAAATAGTTAAAATGGCAAATTTTATGTTGTGTATATTTTACCACAATTAAAAAAAAAGTAGGCATTTGACACCACACACACACAGACACACACACACACACACACAAAAGAAATAAGTTTGCTAACCCATGATCTAATGCCTACAGAAGTTTAGAGTTTGCAAGACATCTCTGCATGCATTCTCTCAGGTGGGCTGTGTGAGAGTCTGCTGAGCTATGCAAGGCAGCGACTATCAGCACCATTTTAGAGATGAGGAATCTGAGGATCGAAGTAGCTGGGACTTAAACAAGGTCACACAGAGGAGCTGGAAGGAGAAACTGCATCTGATTCCCAGGACAGTGCTCTTTCTACTGCCCTGTAGAGAGTTCTAAGTGTTTCTCAATGACAAAGTTAGTTGGCAAAGATCTACCCACCTCCCCTGGCCCCAGCTCCCCTGGGACTGGTTGCCTGTGGGAAAAGGCTGGCTACAGCACAGCGACAGCTCGGTACTATGAAAAACTACCAAGGTCCGACCACTGAGGACTTATCTGTTCCATAATTGCCACTCTTACTAAACTGCAGTTTTCATGAGAAGAAAGACCTCGTCTGTTCACTGCTGTATGTATCCCAGAGCCCAGCATGTTCCAGATGCTTACAAAATGTTTACTGAATAAACTGAGTTAATTATAGTCCTGACAATTACAAGATCCTCATCCTCCCTGACTGGCACCTTGTTTAAAAGACTCACCTTTTCTCCAGAGAGGAATCCCTGTTCTGGCTACTACCACCACCACACATGCAATTACCTACACACGTGGCAGATATCCTTTATTCTTCTCCTCTCCAAATCCAAATGATTACCAAGTCCTGTTACTTTAGCTCTTCAATCCACCCCCTCCTCTCCAGCCCTGTCTTGTTCAGACCCTCATCCCCTGAAGCCTGAATTGTTCAGTCACCTCCTCACTGGCCTCCTGCCTCCAGCACAAATCTGATCAAATTACTCTTCACTCAACTCTTCATTGGGCCCCTTCTGACCATGAACTCGAGCCCCAGCCTACCTCTTCTGCCTCATCGCCACTTCTCCCCACTCCCACCCATGGCCAAGCCACATGGTGCTACCTGCTGTTCTCTGCTGTGCTGTGCCCATCAATAGACCTTTGCACACCCTGCGCTCTCTATCTGGGAAGCCCTTGCCCACCCAGCCCACTGGCTGCGTGTCTAGTCTGTCTTCCAGACCTAGTTCAAGCATCACTTCTCTGGGAAGCCTATCCTAACGCTCCCCAGGATAAGGGGACTCTTGTCTGGATTATAGCACTGATTACATTGCTTGTATTATGTGCTGTTTTCCCATCCCTGCACCCCCCACCTGCAGCTGAGAGCACTGTGAGGGCAGGACTGTGTCTGACCCGCATTGGTGTGTCCTTCCCTTAGCACAGGGGCTGGCACAAAGTGCCAATTAGTATCTACTGAAATCCTTGCAGCTCACAATTTGCTCAGATGTCTGGGCTCTTTCAATGCTGGGTAAGGGTGAGGGTGGAGCCGTTCCTGACAGTTGCCCTGATCTCACAGAAGCAAATGGCTTGTAGTAGACTTCTGTTATTGCTTTTTATGCTTGGTACCTTTGTGTTCCTAGAACTGCTCCTTCCTAACCTTTGGGGCCATCAACCACAAGAGTCTATCCTCTGTACCACAGACGTGGGGAAGAAATCTAACCAGGGCAATCATAGCAACCCAACACCACCCACCTGGTGACTGGTTCAGGGATGGGGAAGGACCTAGGCAGGGTCAGTATATATCAGAGTGGGCTTGAATCTTAGCTCCACCACTTACTGGCTGGGTGACCTTGAGCCAGTTGCTTAATCCTTTAAATCTGAAAAATGGGAATAATAAAAGTATCCTATGTTGTAGGAATAATTGAGTTAGTATATATGAAGTGCTTAGAACAGTGCCTGTCACAAAGGAAGTGGTGAATACATATTTTTTTATTATCACTGTACCACTATGTGGGGAGAGCCCATCTGAGAACTAGTAAGAATGAGAGAGAGACAGAACTCAGATGTATCATTGGGGTTCCTTTCAATCTCTTGCACTTCCTAGTTCCACAGGCTAATTAACTTTTTTTTTTTTTTTTGTAAAGCAAGTTTGAGTTGGGTCTCTGTAAGTTATAACCCAAAGGGAACTACCACTGGAGTGAAGTGGGAAAAACACAGGAACCAGGAGCCTGGTGGACTCTGTTTGCTATGAGAGTTTGGACAAGAGCTTCACTTCTCAAGCTTTAGTACCTCATATGTCTGATGGTGTGGGTCGTGTCTGCCTTGCTTCCCTTTCATGACTGCTGTGAGAATCCATTTATTCAAAGGATATACCTTGAAAACCATCAAGTGCTAAAAAAACAAAAACTCACCAATGGCTCCTTACAATGTATCGAGGAAAGTCCCAACTCCTTAGCTTGGTGTTTGCAGGGTCCTACCCCAGGTGGTCCCACTCTACCTTTTTGGCCTTCTCACTTACGCAGTCCTTTCCCACATGCAAATCCTCTGCTTAGGCTATGCTGGATTTTCTGCCACTCCCCTGACACATCTTTGTGTCTTTGCTCATTTTGTTCCCTCCACATGAAATGATTATGGCTCATCTCCACCTAAAAAGATCCATCCACCAAGGTCCATCCTGATGAAACCTCTTCCAGGAAGTCCTTTCTGATCACTCCCTGGGGCTGTCTCTCACACGTATACACGTGTACACAGAGTAGCAAGAAGCGCCCTTTTTTCCTGAGAACTCCTACCATTCCCTTTACTGAGGTTCAGAGAGTTCTTTAATCAGATTGTAACCTCCTGGAGGGCAGGGCTGTCTGATTTGTATTCCCCATTATACCTTACAGCAGAGATACAGAGGATTACAGCTCCAACAACATGGGCCCAGGGAGAGAGCAGATGCATCACCTGCAGAGCAAAAGAAACGGAGAATTTCTGCTCTCTCCTTGTTCAGCTTCCATTCCTACTGGAGGCAGGTACATGGGTTTAATAACAAACTCTGCATTGCTTAGTTACACTGAGCCAATGAGCGAACATTCAGTGTGGGTGAACAACAGAAAAGGCTGCTGACACCTGGAGAAACTTACCCAAGCCGGGATTTGCTGGAATCACCCAGTCTCCTGGCTTCACCCTAGTCACATTGCTGCCCACTGCTACCACCTGTCCAACGCCTTCATTCCCTCCAACAGCAGGCAGTTTGGGAAGCAGGCCATAGTTTCCTAAAAGAGAAGGGCAGAGAGGGACATCCAACTAAGTTTGGACAGAGAAAGAGCATGGGCTTTGGAGTCAGACAGACCTAAGCCTGATCTGGGCTCTGCCTCTGGGTAGCTGTGTAACTAACCTCTCTGCATCTTAGCTTCTTCATCTGTCTCCAGTTGCTGTCGAGTCAATTCTGACTCATGGTGACTGCACTTCATAGCGTTTTCAAGGCAGTGACCTTTTGGAAGCAGACTGCAAAGCCCTTCTTCTGAGGTGACTCTGGGTAGGTTTGAACCATCAATCTTTTGGTTAGTAGTTAAGTGCTCTAACCATTTAAACCATTTATACCACCCAGGGACTCCTCATCTGTTGGAAAGGGATAATACTGCTTAGCGTCCATGATTATGTGTGAGGCTTAGATAACATATGAAGTGAGCCCAGCATATCCATAGGCACTTCATAATGGTTAGTTTACCCCCACTGCAATCCTAACTCTTAAAAAGCCTCACATTCCAGAGAGGGAAGGCCAGAGAGGGCTGACACAGTCTGCAGACAGAGCATCTGGAGAACAGCTGTTGCTAATCACAGGAATTTCACACCCGCACCTGAGGAGGAATGAAAATGAGGGGGCAGCTAAGCAAAAAAGCCAATTAACATAATCCACAGAAACCAAGGTTACCTTGGATCATATTTATGTCAGATGGATTGATGGGGGCCGCCAGCATCTTCACACGGACGTCTGATCCACCCACAGCAGGCAGCTCCAGGTTCTTCAGTCTAAGCACAAAGCCGAAGAGAGACGTTAATGTCACCCAGGCTAGACAGGGCGTCTTTCACTCAAATCATCTCCCCAAAGTAGGTCAGGCAACATTTTTGGGCTGCCACTATGTGCCCAGGGTTCTGTTAGAAAAGAGAGGTGCTGTAAGGAACTAACCCAGCATACAAGTTAACTCTCTCATTACCTGCAAGTGGATATTCCCTAGTCACCTTGAAGCCCCACTGCCCACTCTGGAACAGAAAACAGTTAAAACTTTTGTTGGCCTGGATTAGCCTTGCTTCACAAAAATGCTTGATGGTTAAGAATCACCTGGTGTGCTTATTAAGAATACAGATTCTCGGGTCCCAGCCCGATTTACTGAACCAGGATCTCCAGAGAAGGGGTATCCCAAGTAATTCTTATGAACAACATATCTGGGAAACCTGGGGCTAGCTCACTTATTATCCACTTTTTTTTTTTTGCCCCAACACATATAGTGGAGAGGAGACGTTTCTGTCTATTGCAGACAGGGTGGAGGAAATGGAGAGATGGCCTCTGTAGTTTGGAAAGAACGCCCTGGGTGACTGTGATTCACCCCTTGTAGTGATATCCCTTCTGGGTGAGGATCCTGGTCTGTCTGAACAGAATGCTGGGGGCCTTAGGTGTGAAGCTCCACCACAGGATGGCTCTGTCACCTTGGGCAACTTTCTTCCTTGCTCTGGGCCCCCATTTCTCCACTTGGAAAACAGCCAGGTGGGGTGATGGTGGTTTGGACTTGCTCACTTCTGAGAGCCTCTCCTATTTTAAGTCTATGTGTTAACTCCCTTTGCTCATGGTGGGTCCTAGACACCATGGTACCAATATCTTTATTCCACTGGAACTCTGGTTAATGGGTAAAACCTTTTGAGGGAGACTCACAGTGACTATGTCCATGTATTACCTTTGAAATTAAAAAAAAAAATTATTTTTATTTTTTAAAAAAAGAAGGAAACCTACCAAGCAGGCAGAACTGATCAGTGAACTAGACCTACAGGCCCCTTGACTTTTTAATTACCAGAGATTTCTTTTATTTCTTTCTCCACACCCCTAAGACTTTGTATGTAATGCTTTCCTCTGCCCAAATGTATTTCTTAAGCAGTAATTCTCCTCATTTTTACTTATCAAAGACACACATAACTGCTAACCAGAGGTTGCTGGCATGAGGCGATAGCATCACTGCACTAAGCTGATGTAATTCCACCTACTTCCTGCAAAAATCTTACCCCTTAATTATACCTGAGGCTTGATCTTGGGGTAAAAATGTGATTTTCAAGAAATTTTTTGTATTAATAGTAATGATAATGGCAGGCATTTATTAGGTGCTTGTTATACACCAGGTCCGGTGCCAAGGGCTTTAAATACATGATCTGACTTAAGATGCAACGCTCCTGTGAAGAAAGTATTAACATTCCCATTCTATCCAGTAGGAATCTGAGGCTCCTGGAGATGATGAAACTTACCTAGGGTAAGATACCTGAGAAGAGGCAGGGTTTATCTAATTCCAAAGCTGGTGCTCCTTTTACCCTGTTCCACATCAGCACCCTGAAATTAGTTTGGGGATTTCCCTGACTGCCTACTAGGACCCCAAGCGGGGAATCCCTGTACTGGATCATGACCAAAGTATGGGAGGCCATGCCTCACCGTGATTGAAAATAAAAATAGGCAAACTCTCTACAGAAAATGGTTAACTAGGAATGAGTTGCTGACTGGGGCAGAGAGAATGAAGGGCTTTTTAAAGTTAAGTATTAAGGAATGTAGGTGCTTATACACAGAGGAGAGGGAGTCCTTGTAATAATAACTACTGTTTGTCAAGTACTTACCAGTTAGGTACTATGCCAAGTACCATACATGCCAGCTTCCATTTAACCTTTAGATACTATTATTCTAATTCTATAGCTGAGAAACGAAGGCACAAGAGGTAAATAACTGGCTCAAGGTCACCAAAAGTAGTAAGTGGATAATCTGATTGAACCCTGGCAGTGTTAACACTAGAGAAGCCAGCTGGTGAGGGGCTGGCCCCAGACCCAGCAGAGGCCAGTGGGATGAACATCCACCTGGACTCGTGTTCAGGGTTGATATTCTATTATTCTAATTCTATAGCTGAGAAGCAAAGGCACAAAAGAACTAAATAATTGGCTCAAGGTCACCAAAAGTAGTAAGTGGATGATCTGATTGAACCCTGGCAATGCAACGCTAGAGAAGCCAGCTGGTGAGGGGCTGGCCTCAGACCAAGCAGAGGCCAGTGGGATGAACATCCACCGGACTCCTGTTCAGGGTTGATCCTCGCTGGATCTGCTTTATGGGGAGTGGGAGCGGGAGCCAACAGGCTCCAACTCCCCCGCCCCCCGCCATAAGCAGGGAGGCATCAGCCAGGAGGGTGCTGGTACTGTTTCTGTAAATGTATGCACAAGGCTGCATACCAAAGGAAAATCCTGCCCAGAGCAAATGATTTTGGACTAGCTGCCCCTTTATATTATCTGTACTGCTTCTCTCCTGCATTTTGACAGATAATCAGTTTTTCTATAAGCTGACAAAGTCCATGCGCTCAAGTAGCTTAAAGACATTTTTTCGACATATTTTCTACACATTCTTCCTCAGCCCAGAATTCCTTTTCCCACAGCTTCTCTACCCACCGAGCAATTCAACACACCCTTCAAGTCCCAGCTCAAATTTTACTTCCTCTAAGATGCCTTTTGACCCACTTTCTGGTCCTGAAGGAAAAAAAAAAGACTTGCTCCATCCTCAGCGCTCCCATTACACTGTCAGAAGTGGCAAGGGTACTGTTTGAGACCATCTTACATGAGTTAATTGCTTTTTCGTTTACCAAGTCTTTTCACGTATTTTTTTCCAATTGATCACGAAAAAGCATAGGTTCACAATCCCTTTTCCAAAACTTTTGGGGTGAGAGGTGCTTCAGAGCTCAGAAACACTTATTATATACACCCCAGTGCGTGCTGGGGAAGCACCCTGTAATCACATACGTTAAAGTTTCTGCAGCAAAATGTATGAAGTCACACTCAATGGGACGAATAAAGACCACATAAAAACCTCATGCCAGGTCAGGTTTTGCCTCCAAATGAGCTATGAAAAACTGTCAGTTTTCAGAGCTTTGTGAATTTTGGAATTGCAGATACAAATGTGGATCTAGATCCAGGTCTTTCAGACTCCAAGCTCAGTGCTTTTTACTTACCACCTAATTAGTTTTTCTTTTTCATTGTGGTAAAAATATATATTAAAAAACCCAGCAGCTATCAAGTAGATTCTGACTGATGGCGACCCTGTGTGTGTCAGAGTAGAACTGTGCTCCATAGGGCTTTTAATGGCGGACTTTTTCTGAAGTAGATCACTGGGCCTTTCTTCTGAGGCACCTCTGGGTGGACTCAAACTGCCAACTTTTTCAGTTAGCAGCTGAGCATGTTAACTGTTTGCAAAGCTCAGGGACTCAAAATTATACATAACGTATGTAGAATTCAGTGACATTAATTACATTCATCATGTTATGCAACCATCACTACTCATTTCCACATTTTTTCCATCACCCTTAACAGAAGCTCAATGACTCTTGAGCAACGACTTTCCTTTCGCCCTTCCTCCCGCCCCTGGAAATCACTAATAAACTTTGGTCTCTATGCATTTGCCTATTCTAGATATTTCAAATAAGTGGGATCATACAGTATTTGCCCTTTTGTGACTGACTTTATCTCATCCAGCATAATGTTTTCAAGGTTCATCCATGCTGACTTACCTCCTAGTCAGTATGTGTGTGTCTCTCCCTGTCAGACTGTGAGCTCACGGAGGGCAGAGAACTTTTAGTCTTCCTTAAGTCAGTGTTTAGCACAGGGCCTCAGACCAAGACAATGTTCAATAATGCTTCCTAAGGACATTTTTCTCTCTGGTGAGAAAATGTGGCATAAAATTGCCAGCTGTTTAGGGAATCAGGGGAGGGGGCCTTCATTTCAAACCAAGGGATTTAGCTACTGAGGCTTGTATTAGTTCTCCCTGGTTCTGTGCTGTTTAGGAAAATACCCCTGAAGGACGGACACAAATAAAAATGGAGATTATCCTTATGAGAGTTCAATCTAAGCAAAGACCCATGGTTCTTTTCCTCACAGGAAAGTGCAGATCAACTTTGCAATATGATTACACTTCTTAAAAATCTAGATGTCCATGGTCAAGAGAATACAAGTAGATGTGTTTGTAGACAGAGGACAGTATACTAGAAAGAACATGAATTTGAAACAGGCAATCCTGGGTTTGAATCCTGCAGTAGTCATTTATCAGGTAGATGAGCCTCAGAATACCCATCTGTGATATGGGGACAACATTAGAATCCAGCTCACAGGAGTCAATGAGTTAATGCACATAAAACATTTACTACAGTACCCGACACACAGTAGATGCTGAAGAAATGACAGCTGTTATCAGTGGTAGGAATATCAAGGAAACCTCTGAAACAATTAGCTGTCTGTACTTCTGAAAAGAATCACTGAAAGAAGACAGCAACTGTTTGGAAAATTCAAGTGCATTTAATTCAATAAATATTAAATTTGTCCTACTAAGAGCAGGTGCTGTGTCAAGGGGTTTAAAGAATTAAATAAACCCCCCTGCCAGCAACTTGATTACATGGGAACCCACATGGGGAGATTCTGGGAGAAGTGCTCTAACTGAAGCAGCCTCCATGTTCTTAAAGCCGACTGAGAGTTGGAGGGAGAAAACAGTCTCTGGAAGAAGCGATATCTTAGTTATGGCTTGAAGGATAAATAGGAGTTTATTGGGTAGACTGAGCGAGGGAGGAAGGTGTTGCTGCCAGAAGGAATGGCAAATCATCTGACCTGACAGTAGGCCAGGCAAGAGGTGTGGTCCGAATTGAAGCTGTAGGAATAGAGAGGATTCAATAACCTGGCATCTCTTAAATAAGAAGTGACATTGATGTCACTTGGTGACCAACTCTGTGTGTGTGTGTGTGTTTGTGTGTGTGTGTGTGTGTGTGTGTGTGTGGAGGGAGTGGGAAGTCTTTGATGGCTCCCAGCTTCCGGCTTGCGTAACTTGATACTGATAGGGAGGAAGGAAGAATGGACTTGCAGTGGAGAGGAAGGTGATGTAC